ATTCGGCGACGCCAGAGTGTCGAGGAAGTTGGGTGCGCTTTTTTGGGGCCATGATGAAGGAAGGGTATTGTATAGAAGATATAACTGTATACGAGGTGACCAAGAGGCCTGCGCCAAACGTTTCACGGTGGAGTCGTCGATAATGCTTGGAAGCCTCCGCCCCCTTCTGAGCCTCAAGGAAAGATTAAGCTTGTTTGAGGAATGGAGACGGGTGCGTGGGTTTCTGGAGGGAGGGTAGGTGTGATGAGGGAAATGACGACTTGGTGGTGGAAAGAGGGAGAGAGGCTAGGAGGATTAGACACTGCTCAGGGCCTATCGCCAGGGCTGAGTTGTGTATGGGCGGCCGGAGGCACGTGGTGGGGCCGGACAGGCACAGAGAGGTGTAGGCGGACTGGATAGGCCAGATGTTATTCTTGTCCATAAGACTGGAGACAGGCGAACAGAGCAGACGACGGCGTGCGGTGGTGCTAGGCAGGCCAGTATGGAGATGGTCGGGGACGCAGGAGCCAGGGTGAAATTAGTGACCATAACTTCTCTAGCAGGCGGGTGTAAGAGACGCGAGCGAGGTATAGAGCCTCACGGACCAATGGGGACCGCGACGGCGGAGCGGCTGTGTACCGAGCATGAGGCTTTTGGGCCAAGCGTGGCCGGTCCGACTCAAAATATAGAGTGCGTCTGATCAAGGGACGCATGCGCAGCGATTGGAAGGGAGGAGAAGCAGCCGCGGATTGTGCTGACAAGGATGGAAAGCTATCGAGGGAGCGCACCGTAACTGGCACTGTCGAGGACGGAAGGTGGAGCGTCGGTGCCATTTTCCACGCGGTCGCAGGAGAGAAGACAATGGGAACTTTTGGAGGGAGACCGAGTGTGTGGATCGGACAACGGCAACGGTGCCAGTAGCCAGGCCAACCCACCAATGGCAGCCTCCGCATCCCGTCATCCTTGGCATGGGCTGCTGCAAGTGGTGAGATGGCTGTCAGATGCTGGTGAGGTTCGAGTGAATGGTACCTGAGGCCAACTTGCGGAAGCCGCCTGTCATTGGCCGCCACGGTCGCCGTAATCCCTGAATAGCAGAAAACGCACGCTTAGCGGTTTCTATCGCGAGTGCGGCGCAGGCCGATCACACTAAGCCTGATGCCGTCACGGCTGCTTCTATCTAAAGAGTCCGATCATGCCATGTTAGGATAGGCGTCAAACACTGGCCAACCAGCAATTGGCCAAGCCTCCCCCTTCGCGGCCCTGCTAAACCTGTGCTAAAAGAAGCCCTAGCCTAGCTTAGAATGGCCGCACGCTGTTCAGACGAGTCTGCCTTACCTGAGCACTAAAGAGCGGCCAGAGAGTCACATTTTCAGGTGACGGTCCTGTTCATCAAGCTCACCCTCCCGTCATAATGCAAGAAGGCATCCCCGGTAAACACCGGTCGAGCTTTGTCCCGTGTGGACCCCAGACCTGCGACGATGATCATCTCCCTGCCTGGCATTTCGAGCTCGTCATTTGCGTGGTTCGTACTCGTCCTGGGTACGAGGAGCCCGAAGATCGCAAGCTCAATTCTCCGTGATCCGATCACCTAACCCAAGGTGGTACTGGATGCTACTCTTGGACGTCCACAAGCATGTCGCACTAGGGGAAAGCAAGGATGCCCATGTGTGGGTTAGACCACGCTCTTCCTTGCGTGTTCACAGAAGCCGTCACATCACGCACTTCTGAGTGGATGCTCCTGTGCGATGAATCTGTCATTGATAGATCATCCAGTAGATTCGGCCAAGGACGTCCCCGTACTCGTACACGTTGTGAACCATTATGCAATTTGCGACATCACTTCGTGCTGCGAGACAGCATTCGGGGAACGGATCCTCTGTCGAACGCTGCTGTACGAGGCTACCAGTGATAGACAAAGCCCGCGGATTGCACAGATGAACGATTGTGCGCTCGAGGGGGGATGCATAACCAGACCCCAGTCCATGCTCCTTGAATGCCATGTCCAGCTGAAGTGATCTACTGCAGGAACAAACAGCCGCGAGTTTCGCGATTTCGCCGATGTTGTAACTGCGTAACTGCGTAGCTGCGTAACGGCTCCCGCGCACTCGATGTTGTTGTCCTGTAACCATGCATCCCTCTCGTACTGATCTCCGGTCACCCAGGACCGTAGCTGCCGAGAGCGCTACGCAATTTGCGTGCAGATCACCGTTCGAGCTGGTGTGCTCCTTCTGACCACCCTCTGATCCTGCGCGGCGGCTTACCAGATCGGTGGCGGCCGCTAGGCTGATTATGTGCTGAGGGATTCGCGCACCAGCCACTGCTCGTTGTACTTTCGCAGTCGGCGCCACACTGGGACTAATCGCCGTCCGTCGGGCCGGTGGCTGGTGACTGGTGACTGTGGCAGTAGGTGAGGCCTGAGTGCGGCTGGAGCGCTGAGACGCAGGCTGCCGGCCATGGATTCTGATCCTTCCTCCAGCCTCTATCCTTGCTCTCAATTCTTTCCTCTTCAAAATCTGTTGACACCACTCCGTGGACAAACTGGCGACGGAGGCCGTCGCCGAACGATCATAACAGGAGAGCGAGAGGATCCACAGTGACTCCTTGGTTCATGGCCCAGGCATCAGTGTCGCAACCTTCGGCACTTCATCAACGCTCCCAAGTCGCGAGAAGAGAGCGCTGCTCTCACGGCATGCATGGCCATCAAGATCCCTAATCTGTCAAGACGGTTACTCTCATATGCCCCTTTCTCCTGCGTGCCGTGGAAAAAGTCTAGATTCTTCAGCACACTCCAATCACCGCGCCGCCAGCGACTTTTGAACAGCTTCCAAGTCGTGGACTCAGAGAGCCACGCCAACTCTATTGATCCCACCAATTCCGGAACCGGCACGGGCTGCCCATGTCTGCCATGGCCATCACGTGTTGTCCACTTCTATCGCCCGCCAGCGTTTCAGTACACGCCATCGTCCCCGCCTCGAAGACGGTTTCAGAAGTCTGAGCAAGAAACTCGTCGCGTCGCGATGCCCTTCCCGCTTTCCAACTTCCCACATCGTTTCCACATGTTGAGACGATCTGCAAGCCCCATGCTCCGAATACGAAGGGAACTGCGTGCCGTCCCTGCATGATGATCCGTCCAATTGACTGCTGCAACCCATTACTCGAAGGAGAACAGTCTCTGACATGGCATGCGCCCATATGCAATCCCCTGACCAGATGAAACTCCTCTCCTCGGCAGCCGTTATTGCACGAGCCCACGCTCCAGCGCCCCCGTTATGGTCCAGTTGGACCAGAAGAAAGCTCTCAAAGTTAATCCATGTGTTCCAGAAGATGAGCAGGCCAAGAGCTGTTCTTGCTTCTTTCAAACCCTGAGGGATCCCGGACGTGCAGCCGAATCCTGGTCCGTGTTGGATGTGTCGCTGCAGCCACAGACGGCACGGAGTAATTATCGGCAAGTACGGACGTAGTACTCTCTGGCCACTTTGGAAGTCACTAGATCCAGATGTGCCCGTGTAGCCTGCGACTGAGTGTCTATCATCCACGATTGACCGTAGCTTTCGTACACAAGAGGCTTGATACACGGCTGCTCGGTAAGCGGGTCCTTGTAAGAAACGGGGTATCTCATCCGCGTGGTCCTGCACAACATCAACAACCCACGTCCGTTCTACGTAAGCATCGAAAGCGCCCTCGACGAGTAGGGTTCGACTTTGAACGACGGTCAAGGCCTGAAGCCTCGATCTGGGACGCACTCCGCGGTTGCCCTGAGCCTAACCCCGATCGAGGCCTATCCCGAAGAGCGGAGAAACAGACACAAAAATGGACGTCGCCGAACGCAGATCTGACTCGATAACCTTATCAGAACTTCCTCGTCCGCGCACGGCTCGGTCCATTGTGGCAAATGGGTATGTTCTCCGTAGATAGCCACGCGGACAACGTGCCCGGGTTCTGTGTACGCCGATTCAGCGAATCCATGCCGTCGCTTGATACAAGCAAAGCAGCTTCCCATGTTGCGACGGGCTCGGGACAAGGGATAAAAGCAGGCATGACGCCCTGTTTTACGGATTTAGAAGCAAGCCACTTCCGCCAAATGCTCACATACATACCCTCTCGGTCGTCTAGCCATGCGCAGTACCATGCATGTGAGTGTTGAATGCCAGTCCCGCCCAGAAGGGAAAAATAACAACCGGCAGCCTCGTGCTTTGCTCGGAACATTGTGTGGAAATGGTATTCCCTCCGTACGGAGTACACATTAGGTTTTGCTAAGCAGAGCTCACACGGGTCATCGCGAATACAGTACAATCAACCTCACGCATCACCTACATACATATCTCGGCTGTTTACCCGTAAATGACATGGGTTCGTTTCCCGGAATGAGAGACCAAGGACAGCGAAGTCTTGCCGCCAAGCTTTGAATAACTTGGACCATCAAGTGTTTCCTCACCTCTGTCTCCTTGCCGACACCGGTTCCGTCTCTCGAGACGTTTTTACGGACCTTGAACAACTTACGAGTACGAGTACGGGACCAATGCACAGCCCACGACGGGAGACTTCGCAGAACAAGACGGAATATCATGCGCATATGCTGAACGTTGCATGCTGACAACTGCCTCGGATGCCCCTCTGCTACCGTCGCCGTCGTCGTCGTCGTCGTCGTCGTCGCCGCCGCCGCCACTCACCAAATGGGCTTGTTCCCCGGTCGAGCGAAGCCGTGAGTGCTGGGTGTTAATCCCTGCAGTGCAGGCCTGTCACGACGAATATCTGAGAATGCGAAGTGAGAGCCTCTGCCCTCGCCAGTCGGCAATGCCCTAGAGCCCTACGGGGCAAGAACAAGAAGGACGCAGATGATCAATCCCATCTTTTGTCTCGATATGTCCTTGAAACTTGGACACCACTGTCCCATCGCAGTTCAATCCGGAACTACTGTAGAAGCATGACAACAGCATAAGGCGGCAGCCGTAATCCGCAGCATCGTTTCGTAACATCGTGACCGTTCAAGAATCTCTGAAGATCGTCTTCCGCTTCCATCATCAAGCCTCTGTCCCAACCTCAACAACACGATACCCTTCCTGCACCCTCTTGGAAATCTCCTCATTCTTATGCTGCAGTAGAGACAATGCATATGCGGTATCGTCCCACTGTCGCTTGTTCACACACCGGTTAAGTCTTGCCGCGAGCTTCTCGGCCAAGTTTTTGGCGTGTTTATCCTGCGAGGACCTGTTAGTGTATCGAAGAGTGGGAGCAAATGGCGGGAGGTGAGGGACGTGATGTTTGTTGCCAACACCGCGTCGGCGAACATTGGAAAGACCAGACGGAAGCTGCACAAAGCTGCACTGGCAAGGAAGAGCCTAGACTACGAGCTTGGTGCCCCAGCTCTGCGCCCACAGCCCAAAAAGAGAGCACATAGCCCTCAGCCAGAACTCCCACGTAGGTCATCCTTGGCACTAATCGAACTGCCAAGAATTCCCGGATGGGCCACCCACCTTGGTACTAACTGACCGGCCAAAAAACAATCAACAGTCAGGATTCCCAAGTGGTCACCCACCTTAGTACTAACTGGCCGGCATAGAGCTTAAGTACCGCTGAGCAAACGGGAAGCGCTGTAGTCTCTATCCTATGGTCGATTGCGGGAAACAAAGTGGTGGCGAAATAGATGTAGAGAAAACATCGCATCTCCTCTGCAATGTGCCGCTTTGCACAACTTGTACCTACCTGCTTCCGTAGTGGTCTTCCCAAGTTGCCTGCGTGTGAGGTCAGCAGAGCGAGGTCCGAGTCACATACCTTTTCAATAAAGCCACACAAGAACTTGAGAATCCTCTTGACAGCCTCTTCCTCCATCACACCACCCTCGAGCGGTCCTTCTTGCGTGAGAACGCTAAACATGTCCACGAACTGATTGTACACAGCATTGTCTTTTGTTGCCAGCTCCGAGAAGAACATTCTTGCCAGATCGGCAATCTTCTTGTCCCCGTCTTCGAGACATTTGGCCATTTCGCCAAGTTGACCCTTCACCTTGACCTGCCCGGCGAGGATCAGGAACGTGAGGGTCATAAGACAAGTACGCTTGACTGATTCGTCTGCGTCGTTGAGGCGGCGGTACAGGAAGTCGGTGTTCTCATCGATGAGGTGGTTGAAGCACACAGCCATGTCGCCCAGTGCGATAACGGCGTTGGAGCGCACTATGGGGTCGGTGGACCGTTCGAGAATGGTGATCAGGAGCGGGAGGTTCTTTTCGCAGTACTCACCACTCACGCACATAAGCTTAGCAAGGCAAAGTGTGGCTTGAGCCTGGAGATTGCGGTCTTTGTATGCGGTATTGTTGGCACAGATTTCTGTTACCAGTGGTCCGAAGTTGGCGAGCAGTGAACTGGGGCCGTACAGCAGCTCGCGTTCGCGGATGTGGGCAATGGCTTCAGTGAAATCGTCTTCGGTCGTACCCCCGATCAGGTCCAACTCGTCTTTCTCGTCTTCGTTTTGCTTCTCTGCAAGCACTTCTTCCGCGGCAGTCTTTTTCCGTCTGGCAGGAGTGGGACCTGACGGTTTCTCCGGAGAGGGATTTGAGAGCGGCTTGTCTTTTTCCTGTTGTTGTTTCCGTCGCTTGAAATCAAGTTCGCACAGCTCGAGATGCACGATTTGCTTGACAGCGATATGGCCAACAGCAAACAGCAGTTGTGAAAGTGCGAGCGAGGGCTTCTCCTCCTTCGCATGTGCGGGTTCTGGCTCTTGTGCCTCATTTTCTGGGTTGGCAACGTCCTCTTCTCCATCAATGTCCATCGCATCGGGTTCGGGAGATGGTGTCCTCGACATGGATTTCAGGTCTTTTGTCTGCTGAAAAACGAGTCGAGTCTTCTGCCTGAGTACTTCCGAGCACAAGACGTCTGGATGGTCTGACAGGACGTAGATTGCACTGATGGCTTGTTCTGCCATGCCATACCAGTCTTTGCTGGACGAAGTTGTGAGAAGTATGGATGCGAGCATGCGCAACACTTCATGGTTGTTGGACATTTTTGCCAGACCCCCAAAAGTTTTCTCTTGAGCCTTCTTCGCAGTTGGAATCATGCGTCGAAGAGCGACGCAAGTGAATTTGGCGAGCACAAGATCTGTCCGGCCCAGCAGTCCTAGACCAACTCGGAGCATCGTGTCGATCTCCTTCATGACGACTTCCGGGCTTGCCAAAGCAATCATACCCAGCACAATGATCGCTCCTCTTCTCTGCGCCTTGGAGATTTCCTTGTTGACGCCATATACCTGCCACAGCTTGGAAACCACCATGTCGGAGATGTGGCCCGCCTTGAACATTGTGCTCAGCAGTTGTTCAAGCGACGTTAATTCCGCAGGCGTAGCCCCAAACGTCAGGCTGATCATATTCCTTGCGATGAAGTTGGCGGCATCGTTGGCAGTGAAAGTCTCAGGAGCATCAAAGAAGAGATTCTTGTAGTTGTCGATAAGATGAGTTTGGACTCCTTTCCCTTCGTCACTGTTTCCTTTGGTCCAAATCAATCGCAGCATGCGTCGGATACCTTTTCGAGCTGTTTCGACCTTGAATGCATCGATAGTGACAAAGAAGTCCATCACGTCGATTACTTCCGTTTTGTTGGGTGATGACAATAGCTGAACTGCAATCTCTGAAGCTTCATGGATGATGTCGATAAATCTGAGTGCTTCAAGGTAATATTTCCGAGTCAACTGGAGTTTGCCGATGGCCTCAGATGTCACAGCATCCTGCTCGGCCTTCTTGAGCGCAGCGATCTGTTCTTCTTCAGTAATCTCCTTTGGCTCGACTTCAGCTTGGGTAGCGTCGTCAAGAAGTTCTTGGTCGACCTGCTCTTCGCCGGCGGCTGTTCGTGCCAGCCCAGGCGAGTCTGGTGGCGGTTTCAAAGCGTCCAGCTCTCGTTCGACTACTTCGAGTCTTTCCGTCCAATCGTTATGTGACAATTGTCCACCATGCATCAAGCTGAAGGGATGAGAGGACACCAGTTTCTTTAGCAACTTGATCGCATTGCGCCGAACATTGCTGCTTTTGTCTTGCAGGCTTTGCATAGCAAGTTCGGCGGCATTTTGTCTCCTCTTAGGAAACTTCTGCTCCAAGTCGCATATCTTGGTCAGCACCTGCATCGTCCGGACTCTGCAGAATGGTGCGGTGTCGAGAAAACGCTGTTCGAGAGTGTCGAAGAACGCATTGATCTGAATCTTGGTGGTCTCGCTCTTCTCCTCTTGCTTGCTCAAGTCCGCCAGCAGGTTACCGCAGACTTCGATAACCGCACATCGCAGGACGTGTGACTCGCTGTCCAGGAACTTGGCCAGAAGACCCATCTCTTTGATGACCAGTCTTGGCTCCAGCTCTGAAAGTTTGACGATGAATGCCGACACTGACTTCGGACCTTTGGTGTCATTCTGACTGAACTCCTTTGCGGCCAGCTCTCTGAGAATCTCGGCTGATAGGTGAGGGTAATCGTATTGTTCTGACAAGATGTGGAGGAACTCGGCCATGGGTTCCGAAAGGTGCTCGAAATAGGTAAGGTTCTGGACAATGGATGTTTGTGCCCCCAATGCATGACCGTGATGCTTCACCGCGACACAGAGAACCTTGAAGCAGAACATCCGGACTGCCGTGATTTTGACCCTGGCCTCGCTTTCCATGATCAGGTACACAGACCTCGTGAACAGGTTGATGAAGGTATCGCGATCGGAGGTAGTCTGAAAGACGCGATTCAACTTCAGCTTCATCACCCGGCACATGACGTCCATGGCGCCCTGTATCTGATTGGAAGAATCCCATTTTTCGTCTTTGGAAGTCGACTTTGACTTTGCTCCCTTGCCGCCTCTTCTTGTCGCAGCCGTCGTGGACTTTTCCAGCGCTTTCGCCTCGACGGCCGATATCGACCATTGGAGGAGGAAGCCGTACATTTCCAGCAAGCGCTTGTGCTGGTGCAGGGTCTCCTGCTCGTCGTTCTCGATGTCATGATTCGCGACATCCGCTGCGGTCGACAAGCCCGACACAGTGAGGTGTAGGATCTTGCTCAGTGACTGGGGCGATAGGACTGGAGACTGTCTGGAGACATAACATAGTATCAGCACGAGATCCACGAGGATGACGAATGTCGCGGGACATAGGGATAGGCACGCACTTTAACAGATACTGTAAGGTATCAAATGCCGAACTTCTCGACAGCCCTTCGGGGTTCTCTGTAATCACATCTATCACGGGTTCCAGCACACTGTCCACCAGGGCTGGTGTGAGGCTCTCGGGGTCATTTTCGCAGTCAAGCAGATCCGACGCTGCTTCGGGGGTTGGGATCGTGGTCGCGTCACTGAGATAGAGCTTGAGCGATTCATTAATGTCGAAATCCACCTGGTCGTCCATGCTTGGGACTGTCGATGTTGTCGCTGCGGAGTATCGCTGGTCAAGGTGAATGCATATGGGATTGTGTTGATCGAGTTCGGTAGAAATCAAAGGCAATTTTCGCCACCTTCACTGGAGACTTTGTTGTTGCACGGCGACCTCCCAAACCCATCAGCGCCGCTTTTCAATTGCGTCGGAACCAAAAGTCGAGGCTTGACCAACCTGCCTGCGGCCAGTTTGCCTGCGTGTGTTGTTGACGAATTTCCCAATGCGTGTTGGCGGAATGCCCCACTCATAAACACAAAGCGAGCAGCGCCATGAAATTACGACAGGGCGCCAGAGGCGTTCTTAAGAGCCTCCGCCCAAAACAGCCCAATTCTATGCGAGCAAAGGTTCCCAGGACCTCAGATGCACGTTACAATGTCGTGTTGACTGACCCTCGAGGAGGAGACACCACCGACGAAGAAGACGAAACGCGTCATCCGGAGAAGGCACGGCGGCCCGCAGCAGGGAAGGACCGAGAGAGACACAACAATAGCAACATGGCCCAGACTGCGATTGCCATCCATGAGGACCCTCAATACGACCTATCGACCGATCAAGCTGAGACAGACATGGCTCAGCCCGACTACTCTGAAGAGGGCGATTCCCAGGGCGAAGGTGTGGGTGACGGGGAGTCCCTGTCGGAATCCTCCGATGAAAGCGAAGATGAGGTTGACGAGAGTGTCGTCGAGGACATGCGCCGGTTGGAGGAAAGCTTCAAGGGGATCTCTCAGAAATACAGGCTGATCAACCGCATTGGTGAAGGTAGATGGCGGACTCATCCTCGTCTTCGCGTCGTTGCTGACCGATAATTCAGGTACATTTTCGACTGTGTACAAAGCCGAGCAACTCATTCCCCCAGACGAGCTAGACCAGGAGAATGACGAGCCTATGGAAGAATCCGAGGCAGAGATGCCCTCTGCGAAGAGGCGGAGGACCCGGCGCAAACCTCAGATTGTGGCATTGAAGAAAATATACGTGACGTCCTCGCCCCATCGCATCATGAACGAGTTGGAACTACTGCACGAGCTCCGGCACTCACCCTACATATGCCCACTCTTGACAGCCTTCCGTCACTTGGATCAGGTGGTCGCCGTGCTGCCATACTTCCGACACTTGGATTTCCGCCTCTACTACCGAGACTTTCTCATCAACGACATGCGACACTACTTCCGCTGTCTTCTCCATGGCCTCAGACACGTCCATCAGGCCGGCATCCTCCACCGCGACATCAAGCCCACCAACTTTCTCTACGACCATTCTCGCAGGTCGGGTGTACTCGTCGACTTTGGCCTGGCCGAGCGCCAGGGCACTGACTGGCAACCCTGTCTCTGTCAAGAGTCGAGTCACAGAAGGAGAGAGAGGTTCATGAATTCCTATGCTGTCCAACTTTTGCAGTCTACCCAAGACCTGCAGTCGCAAAGCTACCCTAAGAACGATAGCCGACCATCACGGAGAGCCAACAGAGCAGGAACTCGTGGCTTCCGGGCACCAGAAGTTTTGTTCAAATGCACCTCCCAGACTACAAAAATCGATATTTGGTCTGCTGGCGTGATCCTCCTTACGCTCCTGGCACGACGCTTCCCATTTTTCAACAGTGCTGACGATGTCGACGCTATGGTAGAGATGGCGTCTATTTTTGGAAGAAAGAAAATGCAAGGCGTTGCGGGAATGCATGGCCAAGTCTTCGAGACAAACATAGAGACAATCGGCGAGCGTGGCTTTAGCTTCGAGAAGATCATTCTCTGGGCTAGTTGCCGAGAAAGAACATCCGACACTCTCCGGATGGGCGAAGAACAGGCTGTCGAGTTCCTCCATGGTCTTCTCGAGCTCGATCCGCACAAGCGCTGGAGTGCGAAGGAGGCGTTACATCATCCGTTCTTCACGGAACCAATCGAAGACGAAGACGAGCGGGAGGAGAGAGAAGCCCATGAGGCCCTAGAAGAGGAGGAGAGGCGGCGGCGCCGCTGAATTGTGCATATGCACCGGGTCAGCTCTGGAGTCGGCGGGTTGGTGGGTTTGAAGATGCATTCTGAGCAAGGAGTTGGTGAGAGATCTGTATTACTAGCATCTTATACCCCTAAGGCACTGTGATATTGCTCTGCTTACTGATTGAGGAGTTGAGTCACCCATGATATGGTACACCCGATGTCTTTTTTCAAGCACAGAGAAGGACATGATAACTGTCTAGAGTACAGACACACAAGATCAATCTACTACTGTTGTACAGAATACCTTGAGGCGATCGCTGGCGCTCGGGATACATTGACTAGGACTCGCTCCGTCCATTGAGAGTTCGCAAAGATCTTGCCTTCGCGCACCCGTTCCACATGTATCTTGCATACTTCATCTTGCCACCCATGGATCTGTCTCCCGAGCTTGTTCGGGAGGTCACTAGAGCCTGCGTCAATGGTACAGGCACGGCACAAGAGGAAACATCACTCATGAATTCCTCGTCCACCTTGGAGCTTAAGGGGAGGTGTTATGGCGCACTCGCTTGTCAACCGCGCTCGTCGTAGAACCTTTCGAGTGGGCGGCGAGACGTGATGGTTGTGCTGTACGTGCCAGCTGCGCGGCCGAGGCCCGGGCATGGTGACGAGGTGGCTTACTGTAAGAGGTTTAACTGAAGGGCAAATCAGCGCTGCTTGAGACCACCAACATGATATGCGACGTTGCAGAGCGATGGTACCAAATAATGTTTCTCGACAATAACAAGTGTACTAATATCTAATTAACTCTGTACGTTCGAACTCCCTCGAGGGCAGTCACAGCAAATGCCCATGAAAGGGCGCGTTCAATCCACAGCTTCTGTTATCCATCAAGTGACTCAGCAGGTCAAGCACCAGAGATACCATTCTGCAATCTTGCATATCCGCTTAAAGTCAGCCTTGACAGAGAAACATTCTCTATCGAGCAGCCTGACCTCCAAAAGGCTAAGAGCCTCAATGGCATCGATGTCTGCACCAATATCGGCATCGCCCTCAGAGAAAGCCACAAGACGAAAACCGAAGCGCTTCGCTCCTCTGAACCCCGACATCAAGCACGGTCGTGACCTCCCCAGATTGAAGGGGATTATATTCGACGTCGACGGCACATTATGGTAAGTCCTTTTGCCAGCCTCAGCGAGGGCAGAAAAGCAAATGCATATTACGATGGTCCCCAAGAGAGTCTATTAGTTAATCCCTATGCGTCCAACCACCCAGCCTCCCGCAAAATTACATGTTCAAAGAAATGCGCCAAGCACTGGGTATCCCACGATCAGTTGATATCCTTGAACACATCCGTTCTTTGTCCAACGAACCCGACGGTATCCCCCCCTCGAGCACTGACTCAGCCGACCCGAAAGGGACACCTCAGTCCTCGACGGACACGTCTCAGCCACCTTCTGCGGACCTGCTTTCGCCATCCCTCCCCGACCCTACAACCGACACATCCTTAGATGAAGGTACTGCGCCCTCGCAGGCGTCACAGCCATCCAGTCCGCAGTCCCGCGCCGTGGCGACAATCCAATCCATCGAACGCAGAGCAATGACTTCGCAACGGCCTCAACCAGGTCTCCAATCGCTAATGTCATACCTCCAGCGGCGAAACGTGCGGAAGGGACTTTGTACACGCAATTTCCCGGCCCCCGTCCATCACTTGCTGGACAGTTTCCTGCAGGGCGAGGAATTCGGGACGTTTGAACCGATCATCACGCGGGACAGCGAGGGCGTCGCTCCCAAGCCGAGTCCCGACGGATTGTGGCGGATTGCGGAACACTGGGGCCTACATACAGGAGACGAGGGTGGACTGGTCGAGTACATCAAGGTCAACGGCGAGGGCGGAGAAGGGGAGTTAGACCCGTTGGAATTCGCGAAACGGTATCTGGGCAGCGGATTGATCATGGGGGGCGACAGTATTGACGACATGGCTGCTGGGTATAGAGCTGGTGCCGCCACGGTGTTGCTTGTCAACGACGAGAATCAGGACTTGGCGAGGCATGAGTACACAGGGAGGACTGTGCAGCGGTTGGACGAGCTAATTGGTATCCTTGAGAACGGGTTCTCAGAGGATGCTTGACAGGATACGTACCACATCCTCTTGCACTGCATTTGGTGCGTGCCGGTATCCTCGGAACGGCCAGCCTGGCGGGAGGGATTGAACTACTTATCTCGGCAGGGAGGTGCTTTGATATACCGGCCGTTGCGACTCAATGCTGAATCGATGCATGATGGCGAGTTGTGGTCTTCCTGACTGCGCAGTGAAGATGGAAACCTTGACGTTTGCGTGTGGAAGCAGCTACCTCTGACGAGGCCCTGTAAACTCGTCGTTTTTTCAAGTACTCGAGAGAGAACCTGGCCGTCGCCGCAGCAGCTTGATCATATGTCTCACTCGCAGAGCCTCAATCCGTGACGCGCGCCGACTCCGCTCGCCTCAACAATGATGGGCATAGAAATAGGACACATAGCACCCACGGCGTGATGGAGTAACGTTAGAGACCCAGGGACACGCCTGACGCAAGCACCAATCCGCGCACGTGGCCATGAGCCCTCGGTGTTGGTTTGTGGTGGAAGCGATAAAGTACAGCATCAAGGGTGCCCGTCGCGCAGCACTTGTCCTACGATCTTTTACCCCGTACCGTGTTGTGCATGAAGATTGGGTAACGGACCAACTCTTGAAAGCGATTTGCAGAGTCCAAGATGATGTGTTGGCACGCTGATACGGCGGCATTCGCACACGGGGTGTGTGGGCGACGAATGAAAACCTGAGGCGAAACAGTCGCTGCAAGCCTGAAACTGTTTGTCACAAGCCGTCACCCGTGCAACCAAAGGATCTTCCCAGCGCGGAGCCTCTACTGGGTAAGAACACTGACACGAGCTGAGCCGTTGGTGGCAGCCCCCGAGGACGGATGACGGAAGGCGGATGGCGGATGGCGGCAAAGGCCCGCCCAAAGTTTAGCGGGAGACCATTTGTCCAGCCAACCGCATTTTCGGATGCGTGGGAGGCTGCTCTACTGGCAGGTATATCTCGATCTCGCCGTGTTTGAACCCTCCACGTTGGCCCAAACCATGAGGCGGTCAACGAGTGACGTGACGGATAGCACACAACGGGAGAAGAAGGCCGGTAGAGCGAGAATCACAGCATTTCCAGGTGACTTTGCCTGCATGCAGATACTGTACCAGCCACGGCCAATGGGTGTCGAAGGATAGCCACGAGCAGGGGGAGCAGCAACCTGTACCAGTAATACAGTAGTTGCCCACAACATGGGGGCAAACCTGATATTCGTGGCTCTCAGCTGCAGCCAAAAAACCAAAAAACTCTATGGCAAAGCCGGGGTCGTCTGAGAGGAGATGAACACACGGTGCACTGGAGATCTGTGCGAGGGAGCTAGGGCGTCGCTCCGCCAGAAACCAAGCTTAGATCTCCGACCTAGCACACAGGTTTGTCAACGGAGAATTTTTATCAGTTGAGCTAGGCGCATATCTGGGAGGCAGGGCAGGGGGGAATCTGGAGATGCTAGTGGTGCCAAAGTCCTAGTGGGGACCAGCAGTGCCTGAAGTGTCCGTGTGGCGGCTTGCAGTTTGGGTGTGCTTTCATCCCTGAGTGGTGGGTTGGCGGTGCATTTCCTTAGCAGTGACAGGAAAGGTCCGACCACTCGCAGGTCAGCGACGCAAGGGAGCAAGGGAACCTTAACTTAGGCACGCTTAGGCTCAGGCTCAGGCTCAGGCTCGGGCTCGGATCCCATCTCAGCGCAACAGCTGGTTCTCCGGACAGATCCATCTCAGCGCAAAGTCCACCGCTCTGCCTCGTCTACTCCGTACTTCTTCCTGGCTTTAGTGCTCTGGCTATCATTCTGTAGTGAAGAGGGCAGGTGACAAGCACTGGTGGTTGTGTTTGATATGCCCATTGACCGATCATTTGTCTGACCGTTATCCCCTCCTCTGCCTTGACTGGCTTGCCTTGCTTAGCGACAACCTCCCAGCCTCACAATTCTTCACCGTGACCACGCCACGACCTCACTCACCATTAAGCAATCTCCCATTCACCCGTCCGCCGCTGCGACTTCAACGGTCGCTTGTTTGTTCCGCGTTCCTATTCAGCCGCCTAAGTCGTCCCCGATCTTGCGAATTGAATCGACGCAGCCGAGAATATCCCACCAGCGCTCTTTTTTCATGCACCGACATGTCTACACCAGATCTATTCATGACCACGTAAACAGCAGGACCGAGCGACAGATACGCGCGCCTCAAGCTGCGGACAAGCCCAATGCCTTTCAGAAGTTGAGGTGGCATCAGAATGGGCTTTAGCAGTCGCCGCCCAGTTCTGCCTGCACCGACCGAGTCTCTTGTAGACGGATCCGCCGACGAAGCTGGTCCTGCCACAGACATTGACCTGGGCACCGATCTGTCTCGACGAAGCGAAAAGACGTCCCAAACCATCCCCGACGACGGAAGCCCCATCACCATCACCACCGCTCCGAAGCACAAGTCCGGAAAACTATCCAAGTCCGGCCACCAGTCTCAAACCTCGCTGCTGATAGAGTATTTTGAAGGGAGTAAGAGCTCGGAAGGTGGACAGCGGCGGCCCAGCCTACGAGTGCGCTATACACCATCTCACTCTCGGAAGAATAAAGAGAAAGGGGACGGGCATATTCTGGTCACTGAGTCGCCAACAGCGAGGCGGCCTTCACTCAGTCATCATATACCTCTTGGTGGAAACGACACACTTGCGCAAAACGTCATTGAAGGTAGCATCAGTTCGCTGGATACTGCCGACGACTTCAGACCCTCTGTTCCAGTTGAAATCGAAGTTTTGCAGCACGACGATAGCGATCGGTCCGTTCTCAGCCCACCTCCCGAGACCAGGTCGATCATCCCTGAGTCGGACATCTCGTCTATGCCGGCAGAGAGTTCGTTGGGACCCAGCACCTCTTTGAACATGGCTCCAACAAGTGTGAGCATCGGCCGAGGCCCGTCTGCCGATGGTGCCTCTCTGAAGCCACCCATGATGCCCACCGAGCGTAATTTGAGCAATGAACGCATTACACAAAAAGTCATCGAAAAACTGAACAACAAACCACGTGTGTCAAGCAGTGGAAAGCGCCACCACAGCAGCCACAGCGGGAGTAGAAGCACTGTGAGCAGAGAGCTTGAATCAACCACTTCCGAGCCGCGCATTCGGGTGACTAAGACGGTTGATGATGATTCTTTACCCAGTGTCACTGGATCCAGCCTGGTCAGCGGCTCTCACTTGTCCGCGGATCCGCGTGGAGCAGACCAGCGATCGGTACGCTCCGGTGCCTCAAACGTGTCGATCACCAACAATCCAAAACTCCTGCAAACGGTCGAAGATGCAATCCGACGGCTGATCCTGCCAGAGCTTAACGAACTTCGACGGGATCAAAAACACTCCCACCATACCAGGCATGAGAAATACAGCAATCCCTCTGATATCTCTTCCAGTTCCCTATCGCGCGAGGAGAGGTCACGCCGAAAGTCGTCGGGCAGTAAGTCAAAGCGTCGAGTGAGTCGAGAATCAGGGTCAGACTTGCCTTCAGAGTCCCGCCGGCATCGGCGCCACAAAATCACCGAATACGACTCGCCTTCTGAGCAGAGCTACGAGCCATCAGAGTCTCATGACAGCATCCGCGAGGAGAAGAGGTCGCACAGACACAAGAGCAGCCGTCCCCGCGAGGCCGTGGCTGCGGTCGTTGGTGGTGCCGCCTTGACGGCTGCCGCGCTCAAATCGCACGATTCTGGATCTAGCCTTGAGCATTCAGAGCATCGTAGACGAAGAAGGAGCAAAAGTCGCAGCAGTCGTAGCGCAAGCCTTGCCGACAAAGATGATGCTTTCCAGAAGCATCAGGTGCCTGCCATGCCTTTTGTCAGCGAGATCGGTACAGACCTCACGCGAAGTTCATTGAAGTCCTCAAATGATGGACGTGCTGAGACACCGACACGACGAGAGGTGCGTGAGGTAATACGCGGATCCCCTCTGGAGCTTTCGTCACCAGCGTCGCAAACGACACCCACCGGCAATGGATTTGACCTGAAGAGAGGACTGGGCACGCACCATGGCAACTTCTCAGAGCACGACTTGTCCGCTCATGACCTGTCATCCAGGAGAGACACTCTTGACGAGAGCACTCTGGAAAAGCCTCGCACTTCTGAAGAACTCGACTTCAGCACCCATGGTTTTGCAGCCCTTACGGATCCAGAACGGGCCCGCCAATACGAGAGAAATCTCCATCAGCAACATCCCATCAGGAGAGGGCTTAGCCCAATCCAGAGTGTGGCTAGCTATGCAACGACAGAACCGAATCGCAACTCTCTGATGCAGCCGCGCAGCTCTGAATCCTTGCAGCGGTCGCCCGGAAAGCATTCTCGGCTTCATGACCAAGTTTCTGTCTCTTCTCTTTCATCGGCACCAAGCACTGATCTTGCTGGGTCAAGGCGACGCCAAGGAATGAGCCTGGAAAGCCGGAGTGAGGTCATGGCACAACATGCAGAGTCAATCGAAAGCACTCCTCGACAGATGGATGCTCAAGCTGTGTTCGACGAGCAGCACCTGGAGAACGAGAGCTATCGTGGCTCGCCGTATATAGACAAAGTCACAGCAGGGCAACAGGTCGTTGCGAGGGGGATCGGGGCCACCGCTGAGTATTTCGAGGTCCCAACAGGCGTGGAGTCGGCCGTTGCGTCCTTGATTGAACCTTCTCTTCTCTCTGCGGATCATAGCTACTCACCGCGCCACAGTCAAGCAGGCTCGGTGGGCGCCCGCGAGGTTGCAAGCCCTTCCTCGTCCCATCATGGTTATGTCTCCGGGCACAGTGGCAGTCCTCTCAAGCAAGAGATCTCGCATCGCAGCGAAAGTGCGCACGGTGATCATCAAGGCGCAACCGCTTTTGTATCGTCACCGATGCAGAGCCCTGCTCGCTCGCTTGAACATGTCCAGCAGCATCCCAACAAGGTCTCGCAGCCGGCTCCGCTGGCAACGGAGAATGTGCCCAGCGGTCAGGTCGAACTCTCACCCGAATCCGACATTACCACGAATCCATCAATTATTCGAGGTCCAATTGGCGGTCTCGCACCAGGCAGCACTGAACACTGGCCTTACGATCCAACACCTCCACATTCTCGAGCCAACCTGGTACTACCGCCTGTGAGCCGTGACCTAGGCTCAGCGGGGGCAGATCTCATTCCTGAGCCCTTGTCCACGAATCGTGACCATGACTTGGACGGGAAAAGAGATCTGTACACGCAACGCAGGCCTCTGTCGACTCCATTGGGCGCTGGGGATGAAGGCTATGAGACGGGTGCTAATGTGCCATCCCCGGGCCTCTACTCGCAGGGCCGAGGAATTCGTGAGGATGCGTACGCGTCAGATATTCCTCCTGACGACGCTGCCCTAGCCGACGATCCTTTTACCACCCAACGAGGCCAATATGTCAGCGGTCTCTCCCATGGATTGTCGCCCATGTATGACAATGCAACGGGTCATGGCCGCGACAACATCCACTCAAAAGATATTGTCGCTCTCATGGATCACCTGACCATGCGGGACGCTCAGCGGAATGCGAGAGACACTGAAATCTTGGTTACCCTAGTCAGAAGTGCTGCCGAGATGCGCAACTCATTCGAAGACATGAAGAAATTCATTGCCGAGCAAGGAGACAGCCTTGCGGATACTTCCGAGAAGCAGCATCAGCGGACACAGAAACTCATCAGTGGTCCTCGACCACAGCCCGTCAGCCGCCCTACCTTGTCAGCCACATCGGAGGACGACGTACCCGCGAAGCGACGCAACGTCTTCCAGCGCGCTCTTCGGGGCCTCGGCACTAAGAATTCTGTCGACTTGCAGCACATCGAAACCATGCTCATGCGGCTTCTGGACGAGGTGGAAGCCCTACGCACGCTCCAACCCACGGCGGCCGCCAGAGAGCCACCTAGATCTACTAGCCTGACTTCTGCGGATAATGCTCGAGCAGCAACGGAGACAGGCTACGAACCGGAAGGTCAAGCAGGCACGTCGTCAACCGGTGATCGATCTGGGTTCTTCTCAAACAACTCGTCCCGGCAGGCCGACTACCGCAACTATAGCACTCATCGAGACTCGGCCAACCGTGTCAGCACAGTAATGGAAGGAGACGAAGAGTATGACGACTACGGAGACCATCTGGGTAATACCACCCCCGGAAACAGGCAGAACGTCAGTCATACGCCGCTGGCGACACCACCGAGAAATGCTGCAAACGTACAAGCCAGAGGAAGTTCGGTGCCGTTGAACACTCCGCCTCGGATGCACGATCAGAATTTGGCATCGCTGAGCAACGAAAATACACCTCATCTCTCCACAGGTGACGGGTCGGGCAGGAAACACAAGTCTTTTGCATCGTCCTTTTTTCCGAAGATGGTCTCTCGATGGTCCAAGACCACTACATCTTCCGACAATTATCGCGCCAGTCAACAGCGAGTTCGGCCTTATTCAGAGCATTCTCGATCGGGCTCTAACTTGGATGAGTATGAGTACGAGCATGACCCACAGGGTGACGACCGTCTTCGGTCGAATACATCATTTCAGCGAGACCAGTATGCAGATGAAAATCGGCCACCCTCTCCCCTGATCCCCAGTCAGTTGTCCGACAACCCCAAGTATCAGGCCCATCGAAACAGCATCAACCTTCAGCATCCGCAACCTCGGCAAGGACCATCCGGTCGCTTCCAGTCTCGTTTGGAGTCTGAAGCACAGTACTTTGATGGTGAACAGATGTCGCCGACCTCACAGACGTCTTCTCAGTGGGAGGCTCACTCAGGCCTTCAGCCACAGCAAACTACGACTCCGTATGGAAGGAATCCAAGTCCGCTCTCAGATACTGCGTACTCGACAGAACAAGGCATTCACAACGACAACAGGAGCATTCGTACCGCGAGCTCTCAAGGGCCACCACGCCCGCCCAAGATTCCCAACGATGAGCCGTTGGTACCTCAGCGCCCACCCAAAGTCTTGACCAGTCCGCCGGCCTCGAACAGGCAGCAGACCTATGTCGACCACGTGACTGCAGCGAGAGCTGGCAGCCCTGCATTTGACAGGGTAAGTCTACTTTAACATTCGTTTGAAATGAACAAGCCCTAACCATACAGCCACAGACACCAGTCGCAGCACTCAAATCACCGCAGGGTCAAGTACGAAAGCCATCTGGTCCGAGGCCGCTTGCGGGATCAGGCGGGTCCAAAGGCGACTTGAACACGATCAAGAGAACGCGGTTCAGAGGCAGTCCGAACCAAATCGACAGCGAGGACGAGGCCACAGCAGCATACTAGCGGATGTGAGTTCCTAAAATGCACCGAGAGTCATTCGAGCCAGGAGTTTCGGCGCAACATGGGGTATATGGATCGTCAAGCCGTGCAGATGCCATGGACCTACCTCTTCCCACTACTTCATAGTAGCAGGTGGTCGGGCGATAGTCTCAGATTTTACGACAAAAGTTTTAAGGGCTGCATTTCTCAAGCGTGGATGGCAGCGCACCCTCGATTTCAGGCAGGGCAGTGCAGAGAAGGTCTATGGGCGCTCACAGTGTGTTGGGAAGCAGCAACCTCAGTATGACGCTTTCTGTGGTAATGAGCGTGGCACATTGGAAAGCCCTGCAATAGATACGTAATGTCAATGACAACTGGAGCTCCGCGTGTGTTTACATGCCGTTCGTCGGCCCCGAGTCGTCGTGATTGATAATGCTGAACGTCTGTCGGCGCTTGCAGCTGAGTTCATTGCCGCTGCCACACAGGAAACATGCGTCGACACTTGTCAGAGCTTGTACTGGCGGGAGTTGGCGCCCAAGGAAAGCCCAATACATGATTTACACCAGCGAGGTGCGCGTGAGCTGTGACTTCCTCGCAGAACACACGCTGAATGTATAGCTTAGCCTTCCGTCTTCACACGGTGAGAATGAATTGAAAGAATCGTGTCACTTTATTTTGGCATTGCTCACTCCCTGCGCGTTTGAGGATAACGTGATCTCACGAGAGTTGGTGCCAGACATCCTCCGTGTTCCTCAAAGTGGCATCGTCCAGCTGTCTTCGCGGCTCGATTGACGTCTTCGTCAATTTTGCTTCGTTCGCCTTGACCACAAATGATCGCAGTCACTTCGCATTCGGCGAACCAGCAAACTATGGCCGCGTCAGGAGACCGTGGCAGCATCTTCGGCTCACCCGTCTTTAAGCTCGTCGTCGGTGGCAAGGTGCTCACAGCTCACAGGGCGATCCTCGAAAAATCATGCTGGTTCCAGCGTTCGTTTCAATTCAGAGAGGGACTGACTCAAGAGATGCACTTCCCAGAAGACGCACCCGAGCAAATGGAACGGGTTCTCTCTTGGCTCTATACCGGTCAACTCGAGTACCATCGGCCGAAAATCGCGTCGCATGACTCGAAGCCCTCACTGACGGACGCTGTCCTGCTCTACATCGTCGCGGACAAGTACATGGTCCATGACCTGACGAGGCGGATCGAGGAAATGTTCCGCAAATACTTCGAACAAGACATCGAAACCGCCTTTTCGCATCACAGTTATCTCAGGACTTTGAGAGAAGCAGGGCTTCCCGACTGCTATGGTCTGAAGAAGGTCCTCCTCGAAAACCTGGCTGTTGACCTACAACGCCACGGCTGGAAGATGTACACGAAGGAAGTGGATCCGGGCCTTATCGAAGAACTGGAGAACGATCCCAAGACCATGTTGAAATTGATGGAGAATCTCACCGACATGAGAGTGTCTTACCAACAACTAGGACGCGGCTCCAAGCGGCTGAAGCGGGAACACTCGGCGACAACCGTGTCAGAGGACTTGTCAGCGCAGGCGGTCTACACCATTGACTGAGAGGATTGACTTGGCTCAACGGTGCGTCGAGGAGGGCCAGGATCTTCACCATGGTTGATATCCCTGATTCACACTCAACTGTAGATTGAGGTGGGTTGACCTCTCGGCTGGACTCACCTTCAGCATTTGCACTATCTCTTATTTTGGATACTCCTCGTTGTCGTCCTCACTTCTCCTGCTAGTTCACGACTGCGTCAAGTCGGGTGGGCCATTGTACCAGAACCTGCTACATCATCATCTCGGAGATAAGTCTCATCGCACTTCCACGAATCGAGCAGCAGTTCGCTGGCAGTGATATCAGCGACGACAGCGACGCCAGTCTCAGTATCCTGTCTTATTTTCCTGAGCATTCACCTTTCCGGTGCCATGCGAACAACGACTGATCGAAGCGTGGCCCGCGGCTCAGCACATGTCACGACCGTGGAGTGTATTTTAGCACGGCAGCATTGCAGGAATATGTGCCCGTTGGAATGTCTACGACAGGTGCAGATGCTACCCGGATGGCCCGCATAGAGCTACAGAGCAAAGACTTCACTCGGACCACGCTCATCAATAGACAGCTCGAGCTGCCAATATTTGTGCCACATTATCAACTTACGGCTAGCACAAACGACGACGATCCAACTACAGTTCAAGAGCCGTCCCAAATGGCATCACCGGCATGCTCACGATCAGGTCTCGATATCCTTTGGCGGATGTTCCTGAGCCCTAAGCTTGAGCCACGATGCAAAAAAGGCCAGCTCGATTTGATTTGAGTTGGCTCCATATTAAAAGAACGGCACTCAAGATGTGGACGGTAGGGAGGCAACATGAGAGGATTAACCACACCACGCATGCCACAACCCACGTTGCACACGGACGTGCCAGGGTTGACGAAGAATGATTGCAGCGCGCCAAGGTTGACCAAGCAAGAGGGATCACAGGAGCGTCGATCAATTGAATAAACTGAGATTTTGCTCAAGCTATGTACAAAAGTACATGTAAGGCAGTTGTGCTGTCCACCGGGTCCGATCCAGCGCCTCGATGACAACCATGTTATGCAACCATGACGGTGAGGGCAGAGAACACGCGCTATGTCCGGTTACACGCAATCACACGCACACACACATGCACACCTTGGAACACGCCAACCCGATACTGTACAGGACTGCCGGGCTTGAACTCGGCTCCGTCCCAACGCAACATACCAGCCGCCACGCCACTCACAAGCACGGACTATTCCCCCAGAATCCGCAGTCCGTGGGCTTCGAGGCCTTCGAGGTCGTTGTCTTGGTCGCCGCGCCGGTACCTTGCGCCGTGGACTTCACTGCCTTCGGGAGGAGACTCGTTTGTTGGGGCGGCGGGGGCTTTGGTGTGGTATTTGCTGGTCGCGCGGCCGGCGTAGAACTCGCGTGCTGGGTGTGCGCTGGAACTGGTGAGAGGGCGGATGAGGATCGTAGACTGTCGCACCGCGTATCACCCAGGGCGAGGTACTGGATCGGACCTGTTAGTGTATTGTCGCAGATTGCGAAAGACGTGGTGGTTAAGCAGACGAATTGGCCCTCCGTGGTGCATTGGCCGGGCTTGCTCCGTGGGAGGTCGGGTATGGGATGCGGGTGGGCGAGAACAAACGGGGCGACGAGAGATAAGAGGAGGGATGACGTGAACAAGAACGAAAATGAGGGCATCTGGACTGTGTGGGCTGGGCTGGGCTGGGCTGGCTTCACGAATGCGTTTCACGCGCGAGGATACTGCAAGGACTATGGTTGTGGTTGAGGGTGAGTGATCGTTGGGAGGGACGGATGAGATGTGCAGACTCCAGATTGGCTGAGGTGCGAGCATATACATACGTATGCTAGTCTGTGTGTTCTAACAAGCGGATCGATGGACGGGCAGAATATTCTCAAGTGGATTCGCGGCTGGCTTGATTCGAGATGTAACTACAGATGGGGCCACACTGAAGACGAAAGGGCTTCGAGCAACGCTGTCTATTCCTGTAGGTGTTCTTTGTCTTGTGGTGTCCCAGCCTGCTTTGTATCTTGTTGGTTGACTGGGCGCGCGCATTGTTTCCAGATTGAACCCGCCCAGCTTTACATTGATTAGCGAGTCTTTGTTGAAAGCGTAGTGGAATATCCCTTATCTTCGCAGCCTTGACTGCTGGTTGGAGTCATGCTTGCTCTGCAGAATTGAGGGACCACAGGGCCCAGCATAACGGGTAATCTGATATGACGGTGATTGTTCATGTGGACAGTCGGACCCAGGGGGTCGGTACCGGCAAGAAATACCTGCCGTGGCTAGTCACTCTTGCACTCCGAGAGATTCGTTACCATTGCATCAATATCATGTTGACAGACCGACCTCGTCCATCTTCACGGCCCTGGTCGGTCTGACGCTTTTGGGGCCAAGTCAGAACGCGGCAGAGGGTAGGCTCTAGCACCTTCGGTATTCAGGAGAACAACGACGGGATTACTCGGCGTATCTCCAGATATCAGTGCCGTCGAGGCAGCCTTCTTGATAGCCGCCAGGGTCGCGGCGCCGCAGGGACCAGCATTGATGCCACGACTCTGCAGGTACTGTACGGATTCGTGGCATTCCAGGTCTGACACGGTGATGCTTGCATCGACGCCCTTTGAGAGGACTGGCCAGGAGATGGGTGAGACGGTCCCGCAATTCATGCCGTTCATTATGGTGGCCGATGTGTCGATTGTGCTCCATTCACCGGCTCTGAGGTTGTGGTGTAAGCATGCAGCCGTCTCGGGCTCGACCGTCAGCACCTCAATCTGCCTACCGCCAGACTTGCAGTAGGCCACGACGGCATGACCGAGCGAACCCACACCAATTGGAGTGACGATCATGGTTGCCCGGAGGCCTCGTGCCTCGAGCTGTTCCTCGATCTCCAAAAGAAGGGTTGAATAGCCCTCGACGATCCAGGCCGGAATCCGTTCATATCCCTCGAATGCGTTGTCCTGGATGAGCAGGCCAGTGGACAGCCTCGCCGATTCTGCAAAGGCCGCAGCGACGGCATCATCGTAGCTGCCCTGGATCACGGTGACTTGTGCACCTTCGCTTTCAATCTTCCGGCGTGTTTCCCCATCCGCAAACCGGGACAGAAAGATGCGGGTCGGAATCTCCAGGATCTTCCCCATCCGTGCAACCGCATGGCCATGGTTCCCTTCCGTGGCGGCAAAGAGAGTCGTCCCTGCCTTCTTCGCCGCTTCTGACACATCTCTCAGGCTTGCGTCCAGCGACAGACCGGTCTGTTCGGCTATTGCGCGGAATGTGCCCCAGGACGCTCCCAGGATTTTGAACGCTGGCAGGCCGAGTCGACTGCTTTCATCTTTGACGAAAACGGCATCGAAACCCAACTCCTCTGCCAGGCCATGCAGCGGTACAAGTGGCGTCTGCTCATATCCGGGAAGACGCTTGTGAAAGGCTCGAGCTAGACTTATATCTGTCTCGTACGGATAAGTCCACAATTTAGCGGAAGGGTTGGCGTGCAGCGTTGAGCTTGACATGCTAGGTTTATTGATACTCCACAAGCCGACCTGCGACCATAAGTTGAGGCTTTCTGTAGGTGAGTCGGATGTGATGGGAACTGGACGATTGAATGGAAGCGTCCATTCCAGGCGATGAACACCCAAGAGCCCCGTTGTCAAAGGGCGCGTGTAGCGATCCTCTTCGTCATGAAGCCGGCGGTGGTGATGCTGTGCCAGCCATCATTATTAAAGACTCGGAGGCAGAAGGGCACTACACTGTAGGATATCACTACCCGAGAGCTGTGGCCACAGGAATGCTCTTCTACACAGTACTCCGTACTCCTGCTGCGTGGAAGAGCTTCTAGGATCGTGTGACGGGTCGGAAATACTTTATTGCGGTCAGCCAATGATAACGACGGAAATTATCCGTTCAAGGCTGCAGCAATATGGATACTACACCATCGTGACACTCGGGCTATTCCTGAAAAGAAGCACAACTGGCCAGCTGGCTTGCCACGATTGGTTGCCTTGCTCACGGACAAGCGTATGCTGCCGACGAATCCAGCAGATGTCGCCCCCGGCTGCATAATGGCTTTCAGTGCTCGCCAGCCTCTCGTCGCCCCAGTCGAGTGCGTCTCCCTCGCCCCACCGGTTGATTGGCTTTGGCCATGACATCGCGGCCCAAAGCTCTCACACCATCCTGCTCGTCATCCGAGCTGGATTTGCCGACATATGAAGAAGGCGGTTATGGCTGAGGAGGGGTTGAGGAGGACGAAGACACGACATCGCAAACATGGTGACACCGAAACATCCAAACCACGCAAACGATCCGAGGATGACACGACCACGACGAAATCTCCCGCCACCACCGACCGTCCTGCCGATATCCATGCCCTTCGAGAGGCCAGGCTCGCATATATAGCCAAAGATCCCGCGGAGAGACGGAAAGACATGAAGTACGAATATACGAAGCGTACAACGACGGTGGTGCAGGAGGACGACAAAAGGGGGAGGCGACCCAGGGTTGCGCGAGCCGTTTTAAAAGATCCAGATGTCCCTAAAACCGAGCGAAGGGCGACCAAAGGGACAGAGACAAGCCGCAGGCAGACACATCAGGATGGCGATGACGATGGCTACGTATATAACCGATCAGAAAGAGCGCCCGCCAGAGATGCAGCACAGAGGGACGCCCCTAAGCGGAAAACAACCATCGGGGATGCTAGTCCCAGGAAATCGGAAGAGAGGCGGACGGCTCCAGAGCGACGGCACACTGTGCCCACGAGACGAAAGGTAGTTTACAAATTTGACGAAGACTGGACGGACGAGCCCAAGCCACGGCTTCGTTGGGACTCAAGTGTGGTTGAGAAATCGCATCGCGTTGAGATCAAGAGGAGTGCGACAACCACAAAGGCCAAGACCGAGGTGAGTACAGCGAAGGCGTCGGAAGTCACAACCGCAACGAAGAGAACGTCCACTCTGTTCGGCGGCATCTTACCTCCCAAAGCCGCGCCGCCGAAGAAAGTGTCTTGTCTGACATGCGGCGCCGACGACGTCCCAATTGCTCGAGCCGCCCTCCTTCCCTGCAAACATCGCATGTGCAACTCCTGCCTCAAGCGTATCTTCACCATGTCCGTTACCGACCCAGCGCACATGCCCCCACGATGTTGTACAGACCAGCATATCGACCTCAAGCACGTCGAGAGGCTCTTCGACGATAAGTTCAAAGTGTTGTGGAATCGGAAGTTCCAGGAATACAAGACCAAGAACAGGATATACTGCCCGGGTCGGAAATGCGGCGCCTGGATTAAACCACACTACATCGCGATCGAAAACGGCCGCAAGGTGGGGCGTTGCAAGCAGTGCAAGCTCAAGGTGTGCGCCATTTGTTCACAGAAGATGCACACGACGCGGGAATGTCCCAAAGACCCAGAAACGAAGGCGTTTATCGAGACTGCCAAGGAGAAAGGCTGGCAGAGGTGTTATAGTTGTCACGCCATGGTCGAGCTCAAAGAAGGCTGCAACCATATGACCTGTCGCTGTACAGCCGAGTTTTGCATGGTCTGTGGGATGAAGTGGAAGTCGTGCGATTGCCCCTGGTTCAACTACGAAGCCGTCGATGCGCATCTGGGAGATCCCGTACGGCATCAGCAGGAGATCGACAGGAGGAGAGAACAGATCAACCGAGACGAAGAGCTCGCCCGCCGGATGCAGCAACTCGGTGGTGGCGATGCCGGCGGACCATTCGGCCTCGGCAACGCAGCAGATCATCACATGAATCAGAATTTCATCCAGCAGGCAAGAGAAGCATTCACCGCGAACTACGCTCAGGCGAATCGAGCTGCCCGGGACTTGCTGAACGGGTTTGTAATGGGCAGAGAGAACCAGCTACCTGGCATGCCCTTGCAGATGGACCAAATGCTGGAATTGCTCGGCCAGGGCCGCGTGCGAGATCCCGCTGAGGGACCAGAGGAAGGCCGAAGACCACGACGAAGAGGTACCGGCAGGCGGAGGACAGCCGCCGCGGACACGCCGGAAGATGGTACAGCCGGTATGGACCGGGGCGAAGAGAGGCGCATCCAGGATTGGGCGAACGATGTCGGTTGAGGGAATTGGAACTCTTGATAATGGCGCCACGAATCTGACACGTGCCAAAGTATGGCGTCTATGACTCTTTGCTTTGGGTTTCCATCCAGTGTGACGACAACAGGACTCAAGACTACGAGGTATACGTGTTGGGGCGTCCGGATTGTGTCATGTAACGTTTATTTGATACCCATTCTTCCTTCAGCAGAGTATATGGTAACGACACAAAAAAATGGAGCTTGTCTAAGGGACTCCCTCTTCATGCAGACGAGCGAGTCAAGCTGGACGCCGTGCCATGAAGCATGTAAATGACCTGTCTCCGTGGTGGCGCGTCGACATTCTTTTCTCTTTAAAAATGCCGAACTTTTCCTTTCCATTGTTTTATGAGCCAGCACGGCTGTGAAAGTCTTGCGATCCCATAAAAGGGAGAAGAGAGGTATTATGCCCTCTCACTGTCGCTCGAAACCGTCGCGCCTCATCCCACGACAAAGGTCTCACTGGTCTTTGAAAAGAGTCTCTAACTCCTTTGCCACCGCATCGCCGACCTCAACCGTCGAATTGTGCCCTCCGATATCCTTGGTCACGATCCCCTTCTCAATGACAATCCTCACGGCCTGCTCGACCAATACACTTTCCTTGGCCATGTTCAAGCTGTACAGGAGCATCATGGCAACGCTGAGAATCGCAGCGACCGGGTTGACGATGCCTTTGCCGGCAATGTCGGGCGCCGAGCCATGGATGGGTTCGTAAATGCCATTGCACAGGCCCTTGCCATCAGGCACGCCGCTTAGACTCGCACTGGGCAGTAGGCCCAGACTGCCGGGAATGACGGAGGCTTCGTCGGAAATGATATCACCGAACAAATTCGACGTGACAATCACGCCGTTCAAGGCCCGAGGGTTCTTCACCATGATCATCGCGGCCGAGTCGATCAATTGATGCTCGAACTCCAGCTGAGGAAACTCCTTTTGCATCGTCTCTGCGAAGACCCTTCTCCACAGCCGGCTTGTCGCGAGCACATTCGCCTTGTCCAGACTCCATACTTTGCTGGGCGGACTCTTCGCCAAGGCGAGATACGCAGCAAGCCTGGTGATCCTTTCGATCTCCTTCCTCGAATACGGCTCCCGATCCTCCGCCCACTCGTTCTCTCCGTCGTCTGGATTCCCCTCAACCCGGTCACCGAAGTAGATACCTCCCGTTAGTTCCCTCACAATCATGAAATCTGTTCCCTGGCAGACCTCTTCCTTCAACGGAGACCGCGCAGCAAGTGTAGGAGAAGCGAAGAAACAAGGTCGCAAGTTGCCGAATGTGCCCATTTCCTTGCGGAGCTTCAGGATGCCTTGTTCGGGGCGGACTTTGCCCACGCCGTATTTGGGCCCGCCTATTGCGCCGAGCAGGACGGCATGGGCGGATTTCGCGGCCGAAAGGGCCTCGTCTGTTAAAGGGGTGCCATGGGCGTCAATGGAGCACTGGCCAGAGGGATGGTTAGCGAAGCCGAAAGGATCTTGCGACGGAAGAGAAGCAGATGGTGTAGGGAGTGTGTGTGTCCCAGACTGGCACACGAAAAGGGTGGCTTGACAGACTCACCCCACCGAGTAGATGTTCTTGGAAGTTGAACTTGACACCGTTCGAGCACTTCTCTATCACTTTGAGGACCTGCCACGTCGAGCTTCACGTCAGCATTGCGCCCGCAACAGCTGGTCTTTTCTCAACTTCATAACAAAGAGTAATCCTCTTAGGATCTGAAATGCTTCGCTTATCTGGATTGCCCTGATATCATCGTTGCTGACCCAATTCAAATCCACGCGGAAGGGAGACTGAAGGTGAGCTCACGGACCTTGATAGCCTCGTTTGTCACCTGGGATGCATTAGCAACACTGTCCTAACCAGCAAGAAGCCAGGAATCTGTTGCGAAGCAACACACCTCAGGACCTGCATAATCGCCCCCAAAGACCACGATGTTGTAGGTGGGCATCTTGGCTCTCAATCAGACTCGCTCGCAGGGGTCTTTCCTCTTGCTTCCTCCAGATCCTTAGAACCAATATTACACACAGATATTGTGGCGAAGCCTAGACCAAACGCACAGAGCAATGTCGATGATATTGCCTGTGAAAATGGCGGGAGGGGCCGATGTCGGCGGACAGTCACGTGATGAGCGTTCAGAAGGCTGTAGGGCGGAGCAATTGAGCCGAGTGAGCAGAATTGCTCTCACGTGATTTGAGCTGCCAGAGCTTGATTTCTCTTCGCTTTTCGCGTCTTTGCTTCTTCGTTCCACTGCAGCGGAGAAAAAGGTCTCCACCTCTCATGCCCATGGGCAGGCAACAGTCAAGTCACAGCTCACGGTGAATCAAGAGACGGGATGGAGACATACAACACTTCTGGGTCCCGCAGCGACTCGCAGGTAATGCGCAGGCGCGCATCCACCATGGCCATTCGTGCTCTTCTCCGAAAATCGATATGATCTACATTGCATGGCGACCCTGATCTCAGGCAGCATCTTTCCTGCCACGAATATATCAATGCTTGAATTGAATCTCTGCGTGGCAGACGGAATACCTTTCAGGTAGACCGCTGATGCAGTATGGCTTACCTTGTCTCCAACAGCTCGGATTCCCTGTTCGGCCCTGGCTATGATGGTCCGTTCAGGAAGTTCGACTTCACCTTGCTCTTTGAGGACACGATCCTGACCATTGTTCCTGCCACCCTTTTCCTTATCGCAGCCAGTGTGAGAGCCGTATGGCTCACCAGCAAGCCGAACAAAGTCACGACTTCCCTCAGCAGACTGACAAAGCTGGTAAGCCATGGCCGAGAGAGTGTTTGTGGAACTGCTGGTGACAATCTACAGGCACTGCTTTCCGCGTTTGTGACCATACAATTGACGGTGCTTCTTGCTCGCGCAACGAACCTCGAAGTCGCCACCAAGGCGTCTGTTGCTGCAGCCGCCCTGGATTTCGCAGGTGCTTCGGCGCTGTTTGTTCTCTCCTATTTCGAACACTCTCGCTCCGTGACGCCCTCCACTGTCATTGGACTCTACTTGATCATCTCACTTCCCTTCGATGCCGCTCGGCTTCGGACGTTCTACCTGCTGCGTGGCTATGCCGCCAGGAGCATTGCGCACCTTTTGTCACTAAGTTTGGCCATTAAGCTGACAGTCCTGGTCACTGAAGCTGTCGAAAAGCGTCAGATTCTCCTGGAACCTTATCGTGATCTCCCGCCTGAGGCTACCAGTGGCATCTACAATAAATCCGTCTTCTGGTGGCTCAATCCCCTGTTGAGGGTTGGGTTTGGCAAGACGTTAGAGGTCGAGGATCTCTACAATCTGGACGACAACCTCGCCTCTGCTAACGTCGAACCCCGGTTCAGGAAAGCTTGGGCGAACGTCAAGGATCCTCACCGCTTCAGTCTCCTTCTTACCTCCGCGTACGTCCTGAGATGGCAGCTTCTCACCTCGGCTTGTCCACGTGTGCTTCTCATAGCTGCCAGGTATGCTCAGCCATTCTTGGTCCAGGACACCATCCAATATATCGGCAACCGCCAAAACCAAACAGCTTCTACGGGTTGGGGACTCGCCGGGGCTTTCTTCCTTGTCTACCTTACGACGGCCGTCCTAAGTGCCGCTTATCGGCACCTGCTCAACCGATGTGTTACCCAGGTCCGTGCAGGGCTGGTCTCCCTTCTCTTCCACAAGACTCTGGAGCTTAGCATCCTCAGTGCCGATCCGTCTGCGTCATTGACCTTGATGTCGACTGATGTGCAAAGAATTGTTGACCCTCTCACACTTTTGCACGACACCTGGGGCGGTATGGTCGAACTGGGACTTGCCATGTTCCTCCTGTACCGGAATATTGGGGGCGGCGCAGTCCTTGCCCCAGCTGTGGTGTATATCATTTCAATATTGGTAACGAGTTGGGTCGTCAGTGTCATTGCTGGCTTCCAAAAGCGATGGTTCGCTGCCGTCCAAACCCGCGTCTCGTTTACTTCTGCCTTGCTACATTCCATGAGGAACGTCAAACTGCTTGGGATGTCCTCAATCATCAAGGACCGTACCCAAGGCCTTCGAGAGAACGAGATCAATGAGTGCAAGAGATATCGGATCATCTACAACTTCCAAATAGTCGCTCAGAACGCACATGTTGTTTTCGCGCCATTTGCGACGTTCCTGCTCTACTACATCAGGTCGCGCAATTCGGGAGACGCCCTCGATTTGGCGGCCTCGTTCAGTATCCTGACCATATTTAGGTTGGTGGAGGATCCTTTCAATACCTTGCTATTGAGCTGTCCGCAGTTGGCGAGCTCACTGTCATGCTTTGAGCGCATCCAACAATACCTCTTGTCCAACTCGCGGCATGACAACCGACTTTCACTGCGTCGCGACTGCGATTTGGACGAAGACCCGGGTATCGCATCTCTCCGAGAGGACTCGATTTTAATGACTCCACTTGGCGCCGGCAGGAGTCCACAGGGTGATGCGTTGATGCTGAAGAATTGCTCCTTCGGCTGGAAGGAGGTGAGTCCGCCAGTTGTACATGACGTTGATTTAGCTTTGCGTGCGGGCTCGATGACTATGATCATCGGCCCGGTCGGTTGCGGCAAATCGACCTTGCTCAAAGGGATTCTCAGCGAAACACCGCTCTCTCGTGGCTTTGTCTACCTTCGAAACCAATCTATTGCGTTTGCCGATCAGGAACCCTGGATACAGAATGGCACCATCCGCGACGCTATCCGTGGCCCAGACACAAGAGGTATCTTGCATGACAACGATCCGTGGTACGAAGAAGTCGTCAACTGCTGTGGATTGGCAGAAGACATCGCGTTGTTCCCGAAGGGCGACAAAACTGTGATCGGTTCTAAAGGCATCTCTCTGAGTGGTGGCCAAAAGCAAAGGTTGGCTCTCGCCAGGGCCGTCTACTCAAAGGCCGAGATTCTCATCCTTGACGATGTGTTTTCCGGGCTCGATAATGATACAGAGGAGCTGATATTCAGAAGACTATTCGGACGATCTGGACCACTGAAAAGACTGAAGACAACAGTAATCCTTGTAACACATGCCGTGCACCGGCTTCCATACGCCGATGTCATCGTCAGTCTGGACTCAAACGGCCGAGTGACTGAACAAGGAAGCTATGCGAATTTGATCGATCAGGATGGCTACGTCCACAGTCTTGAGGTACAATTCAAACGGGAGCCCGAACGTGTAATCGAGGAGGGAACAGGTCATGAGGCCGAGGCAGCGAAGGGCGGCAAAGAGCTCCCTACCACGGACACGGTTCGAGAAGACAGAGGCCTCACCGACGATACCATGCGACGGACAGGCGAATGGGCCACGTACAAGCACTGGCTCAAGTCTTGCGGCTATGTATCAAGCGCGTTGTCCATCCTATGGGCTACTTGCTGGGTTATCGCCGCCCAAGCTCCTGGTGTATTGGTCAAATTCTTCGGCCACTCCTCTGATCAGGCAACGACATTCATCATCATCTTCGGAGGAGCCTGCATCCTTTCAGGTGCGGCCGTCGTGCTCGTGGCATACCAAATTTTCATGGATATGGTGCCCAAAAGTTCCAGCAACCTGCACCTCAATCTTCTCGAGGCTGTAGTCAACGCGCCACTGTCCTTCTTCACGCACACCGATATCGGTAGTATCACGAACCGCTTCAGTCAAGACATGGCTTTGGTTGACTCCGAATTGCCGTTCTCGTATGCCGATTTCATGTTATCCTTCATCAACTGTGGCTTTGGCCTTGCACTCATGGCCGCTTCAGGAACAGGATACTTTGCTGCGACAATTCCCGTGGTACTTGCAGCCTTGTACGGAATCCAAAAGTACTATCTGCGGACGAGTCGCCAACTGCGCATTCTCGATCTCGAAGAAAAGGCTCCGCTGTACACACTGTTTGGCGAGATAGCTGCTGGCTTGGTCAGTGTCCGTGCTTTTGGGTGGACGGAGAAGTTTGCAGAGCGAAATCTCGAGCTGCTGGACCGGAGCCAGCGACCATTCTATCTCCTGTGGTGTGTCCAGAGATGGCTCGGGATTGTTCTGGATCTCTTGGCGACGGTGCTCATCACGATATTGATGGTGGTTATCGTCGCAAAGCGCCAGTCCATCGAGCCTGGCCTTGTTGGACTAGGTCTACTGAGCACTGTGAACCTGAGTAGCGGCTTGACTCACCTGGTCAGGCAGTGGACTATATTGGAAACCAGCATTGGAGCAATTAGTCGGCTGAGGGACTTTGCGAAGAATACCGAGTCGGAGCACAAAGCGTGGGAAATCGACGCCATTAGCAGCCAATGGCCGGAGAAAGGACAAGTGGGATTCTCGCGCTTCAAAGCCAGCTATGCTGCAGATTCGGTGCTGGTGCTGAAGGATGTTGACTTGGATATCCGCTGCGGTGAGAAAGTGGGCATCTGTGGCCGCTCCGGAGCCGGCAAGAGCTCAGTGCTCGCCAGTCTCTTCCATCTACTGGAATTCCGCAGTGGCCAGGTCCAGATTGATGGCGTTGACGTCTCCCGCATACCGCGCGAGACACTCCGTGCCAGACTGAATGTTATTCCCCAAGAGCCGTGGTGGATCACGACCGAGTCTGTCCGCTTCAACATGGATCCATGGACGGCCAGCGGTACAGAGCTCCAAACTCCCCTGAGTGAACACTCGCATGAGCGAGACGAATTATTCATCTCCGCCCTCGCACAATGCCAGATCTGGCCCGTCATTCAAGAGAAAGGCGGACTCGACGCAGTCATGACCCCTGACTTCCTCTCCCACGGCCAACGGCAGCTCTTCTGTCTGGCCCGGGCACTGGTCCGACAGTCAAACATTGTGGTACTGGACGAAGTGTCCGCCAGTGTGGACGTCAAGACGGACGAGTTGATGCAACGGATCATCAGGGAGAAATTTGCAGACTGCACTGTGATTGCGGTGGCACACCGGTTGAATACCATTGTCGATTTCGACCGGGTCGTTGTGCTTGCCAAGGGAGAAGTCGTCGAGGTTGGTGTGCCGTCGGAGTTGTTGCAAAGGCAACGAAGCGCATTCAAGGGATTGTACGAGTCTTGAATTATTAGCGATGGCAGATCGAGTTTAAACAGCACAAGAGAGAGTTGGAAATCATCTACAGCGAAAACGACAGCGACAGCGACAGCCTTGGGAGTGATAGATAGATAGATACATCGATGAGCATCCACGGGCTTCACCAGTGACCAGTCTGGCTAGAACACACTACACAGCAGACAATAGACAGCAACGACGGGATTTTGTAATTGTCGTACATAATTTAGATTCCCATATTTAGATCTCGCAATCGACCATAGGATAGAGACAACAGCGCTTCCCGTTTGCTCAGCGGTACTTAAGCTCTATGCCGGCCAGTCAGTACTAAGGTGGGTGACCACTTGGGAATCCTGGCTGTTGATTGTTTTTCTGGGGCCTCAGATAGACGTAAGGTTTGCTTTGCTTTTGTTTTTGCTTCTCGAGCTGCTTAGAGCTGGGAAGAAGGAGGGCAGGGGAAATGGTGGGTTAAAGGGCAAGAGAGATTGCCGAGGGATGGGGAGGTCTGTCCTTTAGTCGTCGGACGTTTCCTTTTTATTCTCGGTCCGGTCAGAAGAAAGACTTGGTCATATTGCTACTCGACTGGCATTTCTCCTACAGGCACATGTGTCATGGTTTGAACGAGATGCTTTTATGCAGTGAGCCCGACTTTGGATCACTCACGAAGTGGCCGCTGACAGCATGATGCGCTGATGGGACGGAAAGGAAGAGAAGAAAAAGAGAAGAGGACAATGGTTGCCAAAGCTGTGTTGAATTCCGGGCTACACAGTACATCCACGTCAGTGATCGAGCATTCCCAATTGCCCTGAGTCGAAGTATAGGTAGACTGCGAGAAGGCTGAGCGAGCCCATAGCGCGCCCTGCACGCTACATCTCGACGACAATCAATTGACAAGACAGACGGTCTCCTGGCTGGGACCACCGGCAGCTTCACAGCCGTCCAACCATTCAGGGTCAGGGCTTGAGACATTGAAATACGCAACGATACTCTTGATGGTTAGGAACACGTCAGTTGTGCTGGGGCGTCCACTCCACCAACTATTACCATCTGCCCATAGCTTGAACTGTAGGTTGCCACCCATGCCATCCCCTGGAACATTGCGTCTGTTGACATGGACAAGCCTGCCGTCGACAAAATATTGCACGCCGAGGTCAGGGTGAATGTCAAACCGATATTCTCGGAAGACCTCGGGCTGGAAATGAGGATCACTCAAAGACCTAAGCACGGTTGCATCGGGGATAGGTTGTCCATCTGCTGCTAGCGAGGGGTGGGACGTGAAGCTGATGGTATTGTTGACAAATGAAGTGCCCATCGTGACGATCTCGACGTCGATCTCGGATCGGTCGTCCTGGCACGTTGGGGTCAGCTGTGCAAGTCTGAAAGGAAGAGACGCCCGGGACACCCACATGATACCAGAAGAAACCCGCACAGGCGCCACCATCAGAGCCTTCGAGTTTGAAAACCGTGCGATAAGACCCGTAGAGCATGTCGAGTCGTCGGCTCTGGATGCCAGCGATGCTGACTGTGCCGTAAGCGTCAAATTGAGCCTGGGTCAGGCCACGTTGTTTCATAACTAGGTGCTGGTCATTGATCTCGACATTCTTCCAGTCGTATTTGGTGTTGAGAATCGAGGGTGGATTATCGGCCAGCTGCTAGTAATCGTAGATCATCCAGTCCTCGTTGAAATGAGTGGCCAGCGGGTTATCGAGCATTGAGTCGACATCAATCGGGTAATCGCTGAAGTCCTCATACAGACGATGAGTGTAGACTGTATTCTGGTCGTCAAGCAGCCAGCCACATGGACAGTCGGCACCAAGAGTGTCATGGACAAGGGTACTAAGTGTTAGAGTGCATATGGTGAGAAGGAAATGCATCTTTAACCGATGTATAGTGGATGCCGTGCGTACTCGGTATTGGTTGGGTGAAGGAGAGAAACGGCTGCGTCGAAGCGGGCTGAAAAGAGGATTTGACCCTCATCGTCTGGAAGGAAGCTGCATCTCGCCAAATCGAGCTCAGAAATCAACGGTGAAAAGGCAACAGCCCGTGGGGGTGGGTGCAGGCCACTGCAGCTCCTCTTGCCCCTTCAGTAAGGTTTGTATCTTGCATCTGATACTTTTTTGACTTTGGCTTTGGCAGGGGTGACAGGCGGCGCACTGTCGCGGGGACGGAAGGCAGCGACCCGTCCATCCTCACCCGCTGTAAAAATCGTCCCGTTCTGCAGGAATCAGGAGGCTGCAGAGGCCAGCTGGTGGGGGTGACCTACCTCATCGTCCACGTACACCGATCGAACAATCTCCTCCCCATGGGCGCCTTCAAGCACGATGCGCTGGTCGAGACTGAGGCCGATTCCACGATCAAGTTTGACCAGATCTACGCGAGAGTAACTGGGGAACCATCAGACAAACCAACCACACTAGGGGTTCTCCGACGTACCTGTGAGCGCCACACGCCACTACGTGGTCCTGGCCACTTTGGAGAATATCAATGACATATTCGCAGGGAACGGCTGGTCTGAGATCCCCGAGCTGGTCTGGCGCTGGCGTTCGATCGGCCTCCACGTCGACGTCGTCCACGGTGAGAGAATGCAACGCAAGATTCTGGTCGGAGCTCAGAGCGTAGAGGTCTGTGGAGCCCAGGAAACCCGTCTTGTGGATCGGACCATGGTTGACGGCTTGGAGCAGGCTATCTTGTTCCTCCTGAACTTCGGTGTCGAAGATGCAGACCAACCCATCGTCGCCCCCACTTACTAGCAGATTATCCCTGGACGGGTGGAAGTTCAAGGCCGTGATCTCATCGTTGACCTCGGTATTCTGCCACCGAATTTTCGTCTGTCGTCGATCCCTGACACCGTGGAGCGATCAGTACCCGTACACTGGTGCTAAATCTATGCAGATGAACCAGCAGGCCACACAGGGCGTCGGCTAACCCACCAAAGAGACACGACAGATTCACTGCCAAGGGCCACGTCGTTGCGCCTACTTGCTAGAGCATTCACAGGTTTCTCTGCGGCAGACGTCAGTCAACCGTCAAGTCTCGATGATAGCCTGACAGGCGTGACAGTCACACATACCCGACTTGAACTGCGCAGCTCTAGATCGGGTTCTCAGATCGAAGACAGTTACTGCCCCGTCGCCGCCCGCACATATTACAGCGGTCCCCTGGTCGGCCACCACCAATGAGGTGAGGCCAACGGGCGCACCTTGCAGTCTGCCAACGTCGGACTGATCCAGACTGTCCCTGTTCAGAAGGAGCAATTCATCCGCCGAGGTAATCGCCGCAAGCCCACGATTTGTGACTGGCGCAATGGCAAAGACATACACGTCCTCCCGGGACGAGGGCGCACAGCCGCCTAGCAGCTGATAGGTCTGCATCTGGGAATACGACGCTAATCAGGATCAAAGCATCAGAAGTCAAAGCGGTGTGCAGCCTTTGAGAAGAAAGCAACAGTGTTTGTGCGACGGGCGCTACGCGGATTCAGCTGCGGCAAGTGGATCGGCAGCGGCAAATAGAGCGAGCAAAGGACGCGATTGCATTGGTTGACAGACGCGATGGTCGTCTTCTAAGCGCCCTTGCGATTCCTCGCGGGGAACTGTTAGAACCAGCGCGTCGAGATACAGCGGTTGGACATGGGCATGCAAAAGCAGGAACTGAGTACGAATACGTGAAAAATCAATTTACAATGCATGGCGCCTGACCTTGCTTGTCAGGACCGGGTGGACGGGCTTGGTCTGAGCGGCAAACGCTGAGTCAACGAACGCAGGGGGGAAGAGAATCTGCATCTCGAGCCGCCGGGGTTGTAGTAAGTTACACAGCAGACGTAGTACAACACCGAGGGTTTGAAGCGTGACACGGTGTGTCTGTTGCCCCAGCATCGTGAGGCGCCGTTGACGTGACGCATGCCAATCCAATGAAAGAGGCGCGTTGACCCCTACAATTGAATCGGTGCATCACGTCGCTTTTACGCCTGGCAATGCAGTCTAGGCAGTCCTCGAGGATGCTATTTGCGAAGCTGGGTGCCCTCAGGCAGGTCAAAGCAAGTTTCGCCTCAACCGACATGGCGGTAAAGGAGCTGATGCATCGTGTTTGCTTGGTAAGGTTGGCTGTACGTACATTGGGGACGAAGCACACAGATGTCATGACGGTGAGCCAGTTTGTCGGATAGGCCGAAAACAAGGATGGCGTCGATAGTGCGAACAATGGCTCGAGATGAATGAAAAGGGGGGATCTGCAGAACGAGCAGGTAAGAGGCTGGGGGTGAAATGCCTGCTCTGAGGAGTGAGGACGGCATGAGGGCAGAGTGACGACGGAGGGAGTGGCCTCTCAGCTGTGAAACAGAGACCCGAGGATCTGGTTCTTATCAAAAGTTGGCGGTATCTCGAGGTCCGGGTACCCATGCCGCGCGTCCGTAGCTCTTCAAGACACGCCCCAACATGATTTGTCGCTGGCCTCGGTGAACCAAGCTGCCGGGGCCTGAACGCTTCGGCTCGCGCACAAGACTCGTAGCGTGCCAGTTCCATCGACGGGAGGTGTGCCGCTTCACTCGACACTCTGAAATGACACCACCCATCACTGTTCGAGGGGCTGAAAAGTCATTATACGTGCGGCATATTGATGCACCACTAACAAGACCCGTTCCATGGCTATGGAGGAATCCGTACTCTAGCTAGGATCTGTAGCCAGTACGAGTCAGAGGCTGCCGAATTGCAAGACGATCTTGAGTCAGCGATCCATCTCCTGTCCAACGCCACTGGCAAAAAAAGGCAGGAGTAAGAGACAGAAACTTGACTGGGAGACTATGGCATGGTCCTAGAGCCTGAGTTCTGCTAGGTAGAGCCGTGTTGGACTTCGCCGCCCCAAGCTTGACTCGATCTGTTATCAAAATGCTCGACAATCACTCTCCCCGCATTGGCAAAGAAGGCACCCATCGCGCGATTCGCGAGGATAGAAAAAGGTTGGCCACCTTTGAAAGACGCAAGAGGCCCGATCGTCCTAGCAGTGACAAGCTACAACTTCGGTGGTCCGGGGGTCGGCGGTGCTTCAGTAGCGGCACAACGACCTGACTCGCGACTGGTTGGCGGACTTGGAGCTAGCAAGCATTCCAACAGCTGCAACACCCAGCACTCAAAGATCCCGGCCTCCACCACGGCTGCTATCTCTGCATTAGCATGGAAACAAGTCTGCCGCTGCGGAGTCCAGCAGGCGAAGCTGATTTGCAGGTGCTTGGACTGACAGGACCAGCTGCTGCGGAGCGTGCAACGCCTCACTGTTTTCTTTCTGTCCATCTCGTCTCAGCAGATGGATGAATACCTGGAGCGCACGGGAAGAGGGTGACCTTGCACTCCACCAACTCGGGCACAGGGGTTACAATCATTGCTTGGAGGAGGCACAACCACGAAATGGTCCAAATGGCCGGGCTATATCCTCAGTACACCAGTACACACTGCTCCACTTCAGAGTGTCTTAACACCGAATTTGACCAGTTCTCACTAATTCGGTGCTCGTATTGTTCCCTGTGGCCCGCCCAAGCCGGACGCCAAAGTCTTGCAGGTTCCGCGCCTCGCCAGGCTAGCTGTTCCTCTGACTCGTTCTTGTGAACTGGCGGGTTTTTGGGTAAGGTGCCCCGACCTGGTACGGAGTACTCGGACTTGTGTAAAGTTTGCCTGCCCATGCAAGGTCTCCCAGCATGCGAAGGTTAGACCGCTAACGCCAACACATCACATCATACCCACCCGCGCGCCCTGGCGCTAGGCCATCGAGATCGCTTGGAGGAAGAGATACAGGAATTAGTTGGGTTAGAGCTTCCCCGCTCCGTTTGCATGCCATTCTGATTCCTCATTCACTCACCAAGTCGACAATTCGACCACATTCTCAAGATCTCCGGAACATCACAAGGAACCGGGAGAAACACCGCCAGGGACCACTGGGTAGCATAGTTACTTCCTCCCGCGGGCTAGCACAGTTCGGGGATTTCGGGCATTTGCTGTGCCACCATATATACCAACCTTTGCCCCTCGCGTTCTACGACCCAGTCCAAAGAACCATATCTGCCCTGTCATAAGATCTGCTGTGATACAACCTGTCGGGGGCGCATTCTGTGGTCCCAACCAACCTCACTCAAGCACATATCCACACATTGGGAAACCAAGTGGAAGCAACCCAGAGACATTGCGCTGAGAGCCTTGGACTTCAACTTTTTGACTTCGTTCCCACACACACACACACAATGGCACATACAATGGCTAGTGATCTTCCTCTTGAAATGCGAACCATTCAGCAGTTTGGGAGACTATATGGTGCCTTCAGAAGGTCGGTCCGGGCAGAGATTCCCTTTTGACTAGGTGGCTAACACAGGGCTTCACTTCTAGTGGACAGTATTTGCTCCCGCACGACCTCAAAGAGGCCGACCGGCTGGACATGATGCACACCATGTTCATGACGATTAGAGACAAGGGCAACCGTCTCACAGATTGCCCGACAGACCGGCTGAAACGGGATGTCCGTGGATGGCAGCAGCCGCCCAGGGTGCTTGACTTGGGCTGCGGAACCGGCACGTGGATGCTGGAAATGGCGCAGCAATTTCGCCAGGCTCAATTTGTGGGTGTCGATATTCACCGCATGGGACCGGCGAGATTGGAGCCGAACGTCGTCTACACAGCGCCCTGGGACTACGAGGGCCCTTGGGCCTTGGGCGAGAGATCCTGGGATCTCATTCACCTGCAAATGGGATTGGGGAGCGTCTCGAATTGGCTGGCCCTCTACCAAAAGATCCTCGACCACCTCGTCCCGGGCACCGGCTATGTCGAGTTGGTGGAGCTCGATTTCGAGCCTCGTGCCGAGGACGGCAAGGCCCACCCGGGCAGGCTGACGGACTGGTGGGACGTCTACGTCAAGGGCTCCTACGAAGCCATCGGTCGTCGCCTACACTACGACCCAGCCACACCCGACATCCTCGCGCGCTTGGGTTTCAGAGAGATCATGCACAAGGAATACAAGATTCCGTTGTACGAGCGGACTGGCGACGCCGCCAAGGTCCGCGCGTCCAAATGGTGGCAGATCTCCATGGGTTACAATGCCGACGGCACGGGTGGCCAAGGCCTCGAGGCTCTCAGCCTCGCGCCACTGTGCAAGTTCTCTAGCTGGTCCGCCGAACATGTCAGGCGCCTGTGCAACGAAGCCATGGCTCAAGCCACGGACCCGACCGTCCGCTTCTACAATGTCCTCCATGTCATCACGGCAAGGGCACCCAGCGAAGAAGAATTAAGATAGAACGTGGAATCAATCGATACGACCAACCGCTGACTTCTGTCTGGAGATCGTGATTTGAGACATTATTGTTCTGGTACACAATGTCGAAGTGTTTAAGCGCTTTTTACCGGCCACTAACGAATCGCAGCGGGTCGCTAGAGGAAGAAATAAGGGATAGAATAAGGTCAAAGACACCGTACATGGCTAGGAGGAGTTGGAGTTGGAGTTGTCGCGATTGCGTTCCTGCGAGGTCGGAGCCAGGCCGTGCCTGATTGCTGTAAGAGAAGGGGGAGGAGATTCAAAGTCGCTCGTCTCGTGTTGAGCCAGCACCCAATCCTGGGACATCCTTTCTTTTCCACCTCTCTCAGTCTTTGGCTCCGGCCTGCGATCAAGCGAAAGAAGGGGAGTCTCTCTCTCCATGCCTCTGAGTGTCCTTCAATCTCATAGACGATGAAACTACACTACGGTGGGAGAGTCGCTCTGGTCTCAAAGAGACCTCGGAGGACTGGTGCTCACGGCCAGCCAGACGCAGAGATGACCTGCTCCAGACGGGCGCTTTGCCATCTCAGCGCAATGAAGAGCCATCGGGAAGTCCCCAGAAAAGAGGAAAAGTTGCTTTTTGTGGTTTCAGGATGTTGCGCAACTCTTGTGATCTCTTACTCTTGGGTCCTTATATAGCGACCAAGCATCGAGTAGCAGAACACAATTCCCTCCGTCTTGCACGCCTTGTTCTTTAATGCATTCGGCCGTGCTTCTTGAAGGAAGTGAGACTTGGACTGGTCCGAGGCGAGCCAAGGTCGATATCCGACGCTGACGAATGTGCCCTTGGTTGATGTGCCAATAAAATGACACGACATTCTCGACGGAGGAGTGATGGGATGGCTCCATAGCAACGGGTATGCGAGGACCTCACAAAGCGCGAGGTGAGTGTGGAGTGGTTGGTTGTCAATACCTTCCACTTCGTTTCATGGAATGCCCAGCGATGATTCGGGTTCAGCATCTCTTGAATGAACGAGCAGGACAGCCTTGGTCACGTATCTGGTATGGGAAAACAAAGCGACAATAGCACGTAACCCGCATGGGATATATGTCCTCCATGTCTTGAGCCACTGGAGCTTTTTGTCAAAAAGTGGATTTTTGGTATTTGGGACCTTCATCACATTGTCTGGCCTGGGCACAACACGCAAAGATATCAATCAGCGCTTCATCTCAGTTTGATGCCCCTGGAGCTTCATTTTGACTTGGTCTCGGCAGCCTCTCATCTTCCTGCGTCAACCCAGCTCGGCCGTGCAGGCATCGCTCGCACGACCGCTTCAAAGCCTATTCCCGGAGTGCATCAACCCTTTGAGACACAGTTCAACGGCCTCCAGCCTGCCCCATCATCATGCCGTGCTTGTGCAACAACCACACCATATTGCCGGATCCCGTTGTCGGTAATGTCATCCCTGGAAAGACCAGCGCACTGGCATCTCTCTTCGCACCCGTACACGTCATTCCATCTATGCGAAAGTAGAAGGTCGCTTGGGCGTGAACAGCTTCTTCGACTTGCTGTTGCGGTGAGGCAGAGGGAATTTGAGGTTGCGCGTGATCAACTGCTTGATGTATGGTCGCTTGACGTCGTTGGCGTTCTGGATCTCGACGACCTTGAGGATCTGCGCAACAACCGTCAGTAAAAAAGGTTCGCTGTATACTAGGGCATGCCCAGGAAATTAGCACGTCTGCCAGTAACATACGTGAATGCTCCTGAAACGAGCCCGATGTCTCGCTGCCATATCCTGGTACAATGCCTGGACCGCGTCCGTGCGGCTCATCTCTCTGTACTCCTTGTACATGTTGTGGGTACCGGATCTTGAATCATAGCGGATCCAGATACCGAAATTCTTGACCTTCAAGGGACGCTTCTCGTGGATGACGTTCAGGGAGACGACCTCGCCGGTGGATTTCTTCAGTTTGCGGAGCTTGGACAAGAAGTACCAGAAGCGGGATTTGGCGACCACGGTGTTGGGTGCGAAAATGCGCATACGGTAGAGCTTGGGGGTTGGGTTTGCATCGGTGGGCAGGCTGCGGCCGATGACTTGGTATTCTTGGAGGCGACCTGGAGGGGAAGGTCAAATATCAGTATTTGTGCGCATGAATTGGTTCAAGTCGTGCGCAGCAGCAACGCAACGGAATCCGCTTGAGAGAATAGATGATGACTCTTTCTTGTATGCCGCGAGTGTCCCGTTTGTTGGCTGTTCCCGGGCATCTGCTGCCATACTCCTGTCTCCGCCCTCGCCCGTGCTCTGCCCTGTCGTCGACCTCGGATTCTTTCATGTCGCTCTCATTTTGGAACAAAATTGGCGGGGAGAAAGGACGTTATAGAGACTTACCCATCTGCAATATGTCAGCGTCGTCAACCTACAGGAGAGAGAGTCTTTGCATACCTTGACTGATCTAACCGACCTCGAGGTTCTTGGTCGTCGTTGTGCTTTGGTCGCTGATGTCGCAGTCAAGGGCGTTCAATTGCGAGACCCGATAATTTCGTCCACAACCTCAATGCCAAGAGTGCGGCTTGGCGCTCATCACTCGTGCCTGTGTGCCTGCCAACCGACATCGCTCCTGATTGGCTGGTCGGACTTTCTTCGCCGCTTGTCAGCCAAATTAATTGCCTTACAATCCCGCTTCTCAAACTTCGCTCCCGCGGTTGCTCTGCTCTGGTATCGGTTTGTCTGATGGGGTCTCTGTTCGCCGATTTTCACGAAGCCCAGCGCGTAGGCGATGGCCGATTGCTAGCATCATGCCTGGCGCCCATAGACACCCAGCGCGATCCCTACCGGCTCCAGTCATTGGCACAACTTTCCAACTATCAGACGGTCTCGGCTGACATACGCTACCACCTGGTCCAGGATAGAAATGCTACGAAACTTCCCAAGTCTGAAGCCAACGCCTGGGTGGATATTCTCGTCGCCCTCTGGAAGTGTGTCAAAGAACTCGTTGGGCTACGCTCGGGTAATGGCTCTGGTGACTGGTTCAAGGCATTCGATGCTTACAAGGAATTGTGCAACCATCTCGTCAGGGGCTACACCAATTTCGGCTTCCAATCGTGGACAGTGCCGTGTCTCTACGTTGCAGGGAAATACATTCGCATGATTGCCATGAGAGCAGACAGTGAGGGCAAAGCCAAGGAAGGCGGTGGAGATGTTTTCACCAGCGGCTTCTCAGACGATATCATAGGTGACACGAACAAGAATGACAAACTCGAACAGGCAGCGTGGACAATCAACCGCATGTTCACGGTCTGCTTGAGCGATAGGGCCGAGCTGTCCGAGTCGAGGAAATGGGGCATTTACAGCACAACCAACCTGCTCTTCAAAACGTACTTCAGGCTCAATTCAATCTCCCTTACGAAGAACGTCATTCGTGCCCTGGAAGCCGCATCAGATGACCTGCCACCCTTGGAACTCTTTCCGAAATCTCACCGTTGCACCTTCAAGTACTATCGGGGTGTCATCGAATTCCTGCAGGAGAACTACACTGAAGCCGAGCAGAACCTTACCGAGGCACTCGACCTCTGCCACAAAGACTCACTCAAGAACCAAGAACAGATCCTTACCTACCTCATCCCTGCGCACATTGTAAACAAGCATCAACTTCCTAGTAAAGCCGCGCTGTCTCCACATCCTCACCTCTCAAAGATTTTTTCACCTCTGTTCGCCGCCATCCGTACCGGTTCCCTTGCCCAGTTCGATGAAGCTCTCTCAGCAGCCGAACCCGAACTAGTCCAGAGGCGCATCTACCTGACCCTCGAACGAACGCGAGACATTTGCCTGCGCAATCTATTTCGCAAGGTCTACTTGGCGGCTGGGTGGGAAGAGACCAAAGATGCCGCGACCGGAGAGGTTACTGGTAGGATCCGTCGCACGAGGATTCGTATCGAAGAGTTTGAGGCAGGAATGCGGGTAGGCTATAAAGGCGCAAACGAGGTGCTAATTGATAGGGATGAGGTGGAGTGCTTTCTGGCGAATATGATTTATAAGGTATGTCTGCCTATTATTGTCTCTCTGCATGTGCTCCTCATTGTGCCGCCTCGCTTGTTAGCATGCTCTTTCAATGGTGCGTTGGCACGGAAAGTTGCACGGCACGACGGTCGCCTAGACGAAATGCCTGATACGTGGCCTGGCGTGCACTCTTGACATCAAGACACCCATCCCTTGCATAGATGCTGGACCAAAGAGGAAATGCTGACTTGAGCTTCTTGGTCAATGCGATAGAACATGATGAAGGGCTACATCGCTCGCGACCGAGGGATCGTCGTCCTCAGCAAGGCTGGCGCCTTTCCAGGCACAGGCGTCTGAACCGGAAGAAGCAAATGCATTTATCTTCAGATAATGTGAAGGTTACCGTGCCTATGCTGGATGTTACTTACCTACTAGAGCCAACATTGATGGAATGGATGATGCTTCTCGTAACGCCATCATTTCTACCTGAGGGTTGCTCGTCGCCCTAGATCGCCAATTCCCGGCAATTACCTGCTACCACAACATAAGGGACGACCAACCGTTCAGCAGTGCCCAGCCTCAATCTGTGTAAGATTTCGAAGACGCACGGAACAGAGCGGCGCGGGAACATGATCTTTGCGACCACAGCTGTCAAAGCTCGTCCCATCGCCCGCACCTTTAGCTCTCAGCGCTCAGCGCTCAGCTTCGCAGCGGCAGCAAGGACTGGTCCTCAATACTGACGGAACCAAAATAGCCCAGTCCTACAACATCGGAAATACAAGAGCTAGACTCGAGTTCGAAAATCAAACGATCGTTAGGTTCGCAACCCTGTCCGGGTAGAGCGGCCTGGGTCGTGAAAGAGAAGACGGGTCTCCACATCGCCTTCATATTAGAGTCCTACTCGTGGCCAGCCGCACTCTTGATGAACATCAGTGGGAATCCAGTCAAGAAGGGCCAGGGTCTACAAGTCGGCACATGGAAGACTTGCATAAGGGCTAAGGATTCGAGCGCACATAGTACCCAGTACGGAGGACTGTACCCAGTATGGGTTGAGTGGCTGAAATTAAAAACAAAAATGGGGCTGAGAGCATGTGACATGAGAGTATGCGCCGGGAAAAATACCCTACGAACTTTCTTCATCTTATCCGAAGTTTTGTGTTCAGTGTTCAGTGATGAGTGTTCAGCAATGAGTGTTCAGCTTACGATTCCTCCGTACACCATCAGGCTTTCTATGACTCACGCGGTCTTTGACTCAACACCAGGTAGGCCACTCACGGTGACACTACATGTTGCAGGGTCTTTTGCCCTTTTTTCCCCTCCCCTCCGCCGGTGGTCCAGTCCAGCCAGCCAGGCAGCACTTGCGTTAGCGAGGGTCAGGGATGGGCTGGGAGCCTGGGGCAGCATCAAGGCCACTTTCCATGGAAGTACGAGTAGGGGGGGGCCGGTTGCCTTTTGCGACGGAGCTATCAACGGAACTCTTGGGACCAATGGAAATGAAGGGAATAGGGGCGCACGATGCATAGGGGGTGAGAGAATTGCGGATTCATATTGCCAAAAAGGGTTTCTTCAGGTTTTTCTCTGGCTCCCTTCTCGCCCGCGATTCGCAGCTGGAGCCAGCAGTGGAGAGCCGTGCGCTTGAAATGAGCTGGAACGGAGAGCCTTCATCAGAGGGGTCTCTACGATTGGGTAGGAAAGGAGCAATGGCATTTCATCTCTTCTGGAAAGAAGGATTGAGCCTCTTATGTCAAGGACAGCTCATTATTTGAGCCGCTTGAAATTCTGATAGAAGTAGCATCCGACCAGCAAGATCAATGTAGACAGTCCCGGAAATAGTCGTACAGTCTCAGGGCGCTCTCAAGGAGCGACGTCAATATCAGAGTGTCCAACCTCGATTGTTCGAGGGACACAGTGGTTTTTGGGTGATAATGATACAATACACGGGATATCACAAATAGCAAGCAGGAACCTCCGCAACTCCAACTTGCCGGCTCGTCAGTAAACAGTCACAGATCTCGTGGGTGAGAGCACTTTGCTCACCTCGTTGGCAGTCTTGGTGGAGAGGACATATCATGGTACAAGCTTGAACCATCGCCGCTCGATTCTAGCGAGTGAATGGGGATGCAAATGGCGAGCGGATGGTTTTGAGGTCATCCTGTGCGATGATCAGAGGCGGCACACGGTATCAAGGGTGCTGGGGATATTTACCATATGGTTACACATGGCGACGAAAAGGTCGAAGAACAGTGTACCGCCTTGTTCCATTTCGAGTTTCATGGTGCCGCTTTTCTTGAAGTTGTTGCGACTGCGGATAATGAGAGTGAGGTATTGAGCCCGAAGCTTCGAGTCCGAGTCCGGAGTGTGGTTATAGGCGTATCTTGCCGAAGCAAGGATCGTGGAGATTTGCATGCCTTGTCGTAGGCCTTGTTTGCGGAGCGCAAGACGTTTGAGCTCTTCAAGGCCGTATTTCTCGGCGGAGCAGCTGTAGCACTGTCAGGTGGGGGCTGGTAAAATGCATTGACAGGAGGTGACCCTACTATATGACGGTATCCTTCATGAGTGTCTGCTTGGTAGCATGATGGTAGATTGTAACATTGGAGCTGTTGCCTTCATCATCCAACTCCCATGTATCATTTCTCTTGTTATGCAACAGTTTCGGATGATAGTCTCCCTTGTAGAGGTATTCGAGCACAGCAGAGAGGATCTCAGGCTGCTCGTCGGGTAGATTGATCCTTCGAGAGTTGGACTCGAAGAACTGGCCCTTGGTGGCCGCTTGGAAGTATGGCGAGCGAGAGAGGACTTCTTCGTGACCAGCGAAGAGTCTCTGCTCCGACCCGACACAGATCGTAATGATGGCAGAGGTAAGGGTACTGTCGGTATCATGTGGTCAGTGTTGTCCGGGATGAGACGAAGTGTCTGTACGTACCTTCCTACTGGTGGACTTGTATGTGTGCTGTGCTCTCTTCTATGAGACTTCACCGACTCATGGCGTTGAAGACCCCGGGTGAGAGATTCCTCTCGGAAAGAGGACTTGCCGGGCTTCGTGGATTTGGTTGTGCCATATCTTGTTGAGAAGCTGTTGGAGGCCGGTTGTCTCCTGCTGGTGAACATTTTGTGGCTTGTTCCTTGCCTGGCTTGCTTGCAGAGTCTGCGAGGATAATACAAGTGAGGGAGACGGCAAGAAGCAGCGATGATGGCACCTAGGTTAGTACTGAAGAGAGGGCAATGCAAAAATCACATTGATACACGCAAAAAGAAGGATGTAGGCAGATGTCGAGATCAGTCTGCCCGACGTTGATGGAAGCGACCAGGCCGAACGATGCAAAGATGAGGAAGGACATTCTCGAGGGCGGAAGAGCTCCTTTTGACGGGCGGACATGGCGGCATGGGAAGCTGGCACCAGAAGCAGGCTGCTGGGTAGCTTATCAGTCTCTCTGGCACTACAGTCTGGATTGAGCTCTAGTGAAGCTGCGGAGGCACGCGTAGACATCCGCGTCGCAGTGGGCCTAAGCCAGACACGAACAGGCCGCGTTAGCATGTGACATGCAACCACTTTAACTCGCCCTGATAGGCCTACCTCAGGTATCACAGGCCGCAGGATGTGTCAATCTGGGTGACTCGGCTGCTTTTGCCCCATGTCTGCTTTCACTGCCGTAAACCTGGGGGCTACACCCTAGCTCTCTAGGCGAAGCAAACTGCAGGGTGGGCCGTAGCTCTTTTTGCCACTCGATCCGGACTCCTTGCATGAGAAGCTGCGGGTGGTCGGATTGACGAGGCGGAACGCAAGGATCTCGAGGCAACAGAGGACAGTCATAATCGAGGACCGCCACAAAGTATGACACACTCGAGATCAACGCAGCGCATCAAAGAAAAAGAACCGGGATGGAAAGGCAACCGGGAGGCAGCGCAACGCCGTGGCAGCAACGGTCGTCGCCCGGGGAAGTCTTCGGGCTCGATCGAAGAGGGTGTGACAGCCATGCTCATCAGTGGAGCCCGGGCAAAAGATGAAACACTGAGGCTTTGGGGCTAACGGGGAGGTAAAGCACTGTGTACCTGCAGCAAGTCGCAGGCTAAACTGCAATACTTTCATTTGTCGCCCAGTCGTGCCTGGCATAAGCTTCTCACAAGCCTGGCCTCTACCAATCTATGCAGAGATCACATCTACGTACTATATGCAGTCGGACACCGCCGCTTGAACCGCCTGAGACACATGTTAGTCCCTTCCCTTACAAAGGGATTTGGCGTCAGGTGAGCTGCATGGGAGGACTGAGCAGAGACCCTTTCATTTCTGATTTCAGGTCCGGACGGGCACAGCGGGATAGATAGCACATCCGTGCTGATGCTGGACTCTTCCCCATGTGACGTGCCATGCCATTTATACACTCGCAAGTAGGAGCTGCTCGGTGATACATCGTGGAAGATCGCCGTGATGCTAACTTGAGCAATCGCTTTCTCTTGCGCAACATCCCTAGGTCCAAAGGCAACTTAGGACCGGGATGTGAACCGTACGATGCGATGATGAACAGCGTAACGCCTGTACCATTACCTCACAGGAAGACTCTCTTTGCCTCCTTTGGATGGCTCTCGACGGGACAATAAGGACATTTGAATTTCGCACCCTTGCTGAGCTTCTGTAATGACTCTTGTGCAATGACGTGGCAGCATGGCAACATCATCGGCGGATTTTGATCGGTGGTCTGATCCTTTGAGACTGGACATACGAAAATTGAGTGGAACTGGTAGGGCGGCGGAAGAGGCGTTTCGACGGGCAACTCGTTCTGTGACGTCCATTCTGTCCTTTTCTGTTTCTGGATAGTTTGCAGCTTGAGGAGGGTGGGAAGCGCTATCGCTCCGGCTGTCGCTGCGACGTATAGTGGCGAATCCGCAGATAGTTCGAGTAGGGAGCAGAACTCTCGAGTGAAAAGCGTGGCAACTTCGTCCCACGTCGTCGGATTGCTGAACCTGACACTGTAGGGTGATTCGTCCAGATTGGAACAGAAGGGGATTGCTCCCAGTAACTGCTGTATCTCGATCAAATACCTTCCACGGAACGATTGAAACTCGGTTTGTGCATATTGTAGTGCGCGCATGGGGGCCTCAAACACGTATTGATCTCCCTGCCGGCGGTCAAGGAACAGATTGACGAACTGCAGTCTGCAGAGCTCGAACTCTAGGTTACTTCCACGGGCCTCGAGTGCTGCAGCATTCTTTCTTGCCCAGTCAATAGCCGGTTGCAGGTTGTGATTGTTTTTGAGCTCACTCAGAATGTGGTACATGTTCGAAAATTGTTCCTGCATACTCTCCTCTGCGCTCTTATCAAGTCCCAATGGATGATCCATGGGAATGTCGAGTCCCTGATGCGCAGCAGTCTCCTGCTGAGTTCTCTGTCGCTCGACCGCCTCAGAATGAAACGTTGATGCGACATCGAAGAGGCCCTCCCGCAGTAAATGCAGGTATATCGCCCGGTTGATCAACGTGGGGTGGGAGGAGAGGGCATCGATTTCGGTGCTCGGCACTTTGTCCTTGAAGACCTTGTCTAGTGCTCTTGAGTATTTATTGTGCAGCCCATGGGTGTCCTTCAGCCCCGAGAACATGCCGTCAAACGACGTCTTGACTGGATTCTGCAGTTTCGCCAGAGTAATCTGTCTGGAGTTTGGATCTTCGGCAATGGCGTCCCGCGCTCGCTGCAATGATTTTATGATGTCGTCGACATGGCCTGTGGTCCTCGACAGCTTACTGCTGTTCCAAACCTTCTCATGCTCTTTCTGTATTGCGTCCATCGCGATCAGCGGCTGGCAGGAACGTTGCTTCCGACCGTCCTCACAAACCGGTTTGTCTTTGCGGAGTGTAGCGGAACAGTTCTATCGTCACCGGGCCATCTCCCGGGGTTTGAGGGGGGCTCAACTCGCAGAAACCGAAAGAGTGGAGATATCGGTGCTAAATGAAAGCAATGCCGGAGGGTATGAGAGGTAACGGTAGTTGCGACATAAGGTCAACGGTGATGTGAGGCGTGCTTGGGTGGCTTGATGTGAGGTGGAAGCGTCGATCGCAGATAAGCGGAGAGGCGGGTGACCAGTTGCCAACCTTCACCTTCGAACCAACCACAGCAACCACAATAACCTGGAAACTTCGCTGTAGTCTCGCAGTCCTGACACGACGGTCCTCGTGGTCACCAAGTCAATCAAGTCGTTGGTCCACAGCGGAGATACGGTAGCATCATGTAAGGTAAACGCTTGCTTGATACTTCGAGCGCTGCCCGATACACCACTGAATCAGGATGTCGGCCGGCTTCTTAACGCCGTACCACCACGCATATGCCTTTGGGGGCTCGCCGAAGGAAAGATCCAACAGACCCAGTCCTAAAGACGAATACAAGGCAGCAAAGCCAAAAGAGCCGACGGTGTCCAGCCCTACCTCCGGCGGAAGTCATCCCGGGCGACAAAGTCGAAAACGGCTTGTATTTGCTGACCCCGTCGCCTTCCGTTACCTGGAAGAAGACCCTGCGACCGATGCCATAGAGCGATGGAGGCGCCTTGAAGGATATGAGATTTACTTGGTTGAGCAATGGGCATGCTCGAGAACGCATCCGACTTTTATTATCTGCACCTACACGGGAGATCCGTCGCACTCAATCCTGGTCAACGTCCTTGCCGTGCCCAGTGATGAAACCACATGGTCCCCGAGGCTGCAGATTTACTTTCAAGCCGTCTCCCAGTATCATGCAAAGGAGAAAGACACCCCGTTGGGCTCGCTCATGGTCACCAACTTGAGCGGGTTTCCCTCTGCTCTGACGGTAATTCCGGTGCCGGACGGCGATGTCAGGAAGCATCGAGAAGACTTCATTGTTAACGAAGACCTCAAACGAATGGGTTGTGCCGGCAGGGCCGCTATCAATCTCCAGCCACCACAATCTAGCACGATCGCTAAGTTTCATCATCTGTACAAGACAAGCGAGACTGTACCGCTTTATCAGTCGGTCATGGAGCTCGTGCGTACATGTCAGATAGCCCTCGTCATGTACGATAAGATCCAGCCCACCTACGCTGATGGTCTACTCTGTGATGTGACTGAACGAGCAGTCAATGATTGGTGGACGGATATTGGCACCTACTTTTATAATGTCGAGCCGAACGACGGCATCCTCGGCCCAACGACAGTCGCAGCTCTGCTGGGGCTCCTCATCGGCGCTCACAACCGTCTCAAAGCGTTCGGATGTGCTGTGGGAAAGGATGCGTTGGATACAGTGTCAATGAAACGAGCCATCGGCCATTTCCAAAAAGGCCAAAAGATGGAAAAGACACGTCGACTGGATCGAGAGACACTGGATCGTCTGCATCGAGCGACAGCCAAAAACGCCGCCGGTGAGGGCTGGACTGTGCCAAAAGCAGTCAAGTCCACGGTTGCTGAGCTCAGTGGCAAAGGTGGGGAGATGGTAATGGGCATTGTTGGTGGTCGGGATAAGGCTGGTATATCTGAAGCCGAAACAATGGATATCGAAAGATTCGCCCAACTCGTGACAGGCCCAAAGATGAAATGGCTATGGCAAGGCAAGCCAATCAAGTCGGGTGATCCCTTTGCATGGCCTACGGAAGACCTCGATCTCAAGGGCCGGGTGTTCAGCACAGACGAGCAAGGCAATTTTATCTGGACAGGTAACCAGCATGACTCCATTTCTGACGCAAATCCGCTGGAGCGGACGGACACCATGTATACGAACCAGACGGACCCAAAATCAGGTCGGCACCGTCTGCGAGGTGCCGTCGGAGGGTTGAAGAGCTCTAACGGTCGATATCAAGAGAGTCAAGATTGGGTTGATAGCACCACGACAGCCGGTTCGCGAACATCACCTAGAGACCACACCCACCGAACAAACACTGGACTGCCTCGCCTGACAAGCCCTCCAGCTTTTGACATGGACCTGGCGAATGCGGAGCCTTCTTCTCCAGGGGCCGGGCGCCGCCAGCCACCACTGCGTCGAAATCAGACCGCGACTGAGAAGAAAATCCCTCCTCACCGAGAGCAATTGCGACCAGCGCTTCCAGGCGACTCGCCCAGGAGAAAGAAAGCGGAGGCACAACTAGCCGAACTGCGCAATGAGTTCAAAGCAGATATTTATCGCAAGTTTTCTGCTGCAGTGCCATACAAAGGACCATCAAGCCGTGCCCTACGACGGACGCAAAGCAACCTGCAACTCACCGGCCATACATTGGAAAGTCCTCGCCAATTCAGGATTCCTCGGCGGCTATCCTTCAGCATCGTCGAAAGCGCCGTTCTCGACACTGGCGAATCTGTCGTGGAAGAAGGAATCGCGAAGGGCAAGATCGAAGGCGACCTGACCAATGCTCTGGCGGAGCGGGATGCCCTTGCCGCCGCGGCTCAGAAGAAAGCCAAACGCATACAACAAATCCAACAAGGTCTCGTCCCATACACAGAAAGTCGAGTCGCGCATGTAGAAAGTCTGGATGCCGCGGCCCATGACCATCTTGAACAGCTCAACGAATTGTATTACCATCGTCTGGAAGAGTATCAGACTCTCCAAGCCACCTCATCGGATATAGTCTCACAGGAAAAGTCAGCATTGACTGAGTCCTTCCGGCGTATGGAGATGCTGGGAGCGAAGATGGACTATGAGCTTAATAGCCTGCAGTCGCGATTGCAGGAAGTGGAAGACGGGGTCAATGATTTTGAGAGGAATGTGGTGGCTATCGAATCACGGGTGAAGGAACTGCATGGGGAGAATGGAGCACAAGACGCGCATCAGCCTTGGATTGCCAGGGTGCTCAACTTATTGGGTACAAGGAAGTAACGGGGGATATATTTTGGTGTAATTCGAGCGCCGTTCGATAGTTAGCGAGGCGTTCGTGGGTTGAGAGCGCCTCTGCGCCATATCTGCCGCGTTACACGGTGTTGTACAGCTTCAGATGCTATCACATCCATGCTCTCGATTGTGATAAGATCAAGAGTTCTCCTATTCCAACCCGAGTAGCGCATTCGTCCTGACTCCGTTTGGTGCGGCAAGAGATCGAACCCAACAGTTCGTCGTGAACATTGATGTCTGGAGTCCAGCGCTGTAGGAGATGCAAAGGGCGGACCGCGATCGAACAGTCACTTCGAGTCGAGCCAATGCGCTTTGGATGCCGACCACCGTCCTCGTGGAACGACCTCATTACCGCCTGATTTTACATGCCGAACATGCCTCCACCGCCGCCGCCTCCGCCTTGTCTCATAGCAGCTTCACCCTGCATCTTCTCCGACACCTTCATATTGACCTCGAAGAACTTGGCCACACATCGATCGAGACACACGCTCTCGGCCTTGTTGAGTTCAGCTTCGCGATAGTCGGCTGGTATGCATTTCTTGAGGCAGGACTGTGTTAATCTGTGAAGCAGTGTTGTCAGTAAGTGGTTCATATGGCGAAATTTGTTGTCCGCCGGTGGAAAGACCAATCGAGACCCGGACGCGTCCATACCTTTGGAACATGTCCGAGACCATCTCGACTTCATTTTCTGCTGCGGCGATCTTCTGTTCCGATGTAGGTTGTGGTCGCCCGCCACCAAAGAGGAAGGACATATTGATGAGATAACGGAAGTGCCCGGTGTTGGACGTGTGCTTCTTGGATCAGAACGGAGTCTTATATTCCCTGAGAGCGAGGGCTAAGTGACAGATCTTTGGTTGCCGCGTGGATACAGCAGATGCGTAGCTCACGTCTGAGAGACTTCTCGTTCCAAGTTTGCCCGAAATTTAGGCGAGCATTTGCTTCTCCGCAGCCTCATTTTATTCTCAAAGCAACTTGAGTCTCAACTGTCGATGGCCTGCGATTGACTCCAAGCTCCCTTTCATGTGGCTTCTTTGCCTTCATGTACGGAAGGTCGACATGGCATGGATGGCGACTGCACCGTATCACGTGTGCAACGGCAGTAAGGTACGTCGCACGTCCTGGATACTTTTTCACATTCAAATGAAGAGACAACCTGAAGAACCGCTGCGAGTGATGCTGGCTTGACGCCGGCTTATGATCACAGTATCTTAACGATATGTCTGATAACATACAACGCGCGCCCATGCCTGTTCTGTTCAACTGCCTTTTACTCCTAGTGGTAACTGACTGTCTGACTCTAGACATCTGCGCACTTCAACCGGTAACCATCCGTCAACTCGATTCGGGCCACAGTCGTATCCACAAATTCCGATATGGATTCCTCAAGCCAATTTCGTGACAGCTTCTCCGAGACGAGTCAGCTGTCGCGAAACCCATGTCTCGAGTTCACCCAGCAGCAAAGAAGCCCAGGAGCGGGTTGAAGAGTTGAAGTCTTCAGGAATCCCGTTATATCCTCGCTATCGACACTCTCCACAGAAACGAAGCTTCGAATCGTTACGGGCAGAAGTAGACAAGGGCAACGCCGGAGATACTCTCGATACGCTTAGCGAAGTCGCCGAAGGCAAGAACATCATTTGAGCAGCCAGGCAGAACCAAACGTGTCTAACTGCCACGCCCAGTCTCAGGAAGAATATCTAGCATTCGCCTCAGCGGCTCCAAACTAGCATTTCTTGATATCGTCGAGGGTCAGAGAAAGCTCCAGGTCATGCTGGATCGGTCAACCCTGGAAAAGTCTGGCGTGAATACGCAAGGTTTCAAGGATTATTGCCGTCTTCTTCGACGAGGCGACTATATTTGTAAGGTCCCCAAAAGTGACTCCTGCTGCTCTCCCAATGCCCTAACTTGTTGCAGCTGTGAATGGAGGTGAGCCTTACAAAACCCAGAACGGGCAAATCTCTATTCGTGCCATGAGCTTGCCGGCCATTCAATCACCCTGTCTACAACGACTCCCGGTTGAACAACGAGGCTCTGCCACGACTGCAATCGCCGAGTCCAATTATCAGCCTCGACACGTTGAAATGCTGTCAGACCCCGAGATCGTCGAGACGCTCAAAGTTCGATCTACACTGACTGCTGCCATGCGTCGATTTTTTGAGTCGCGCTCCTTTGTTGAGGTTTCTACCCCGATTCTGTCTGCGGGCGCTGGTGGCGCGACTGCGAAGCCATTTGAGACCGCTGCAATGGAGTTCTCAGAGCGCAAACTCAACCTACGGATCGCCCCTGAACTTTGGCTCAAGAGGCTTATCATCGGAGGGATGGACAAGGTCTTTGAAATTGGACCTTGTTTTCGGAACGAAGGGCTCGATAAAACCCATAACCCGGAGTTCACGACATGTGAATTCTACGCCGTTTCCCATGACCTACAGCAACTGATGGATATGACGGAACAGCTGCTTGCCAGCATTAGAGTGGACGTCCAGTCCAATTTTCATCCTTTTGGGGAAAGGCCGCTCTTTCAACAACTCCAGGCGGGCTTCCAGGTCCTCGATTTCATCCCCTCCCTCAATTCCGCTCTGGGAAGGGAGCTGCCAAACCTGACTTCGCCAGACGCGCATTCTTCGCTGCTTTCCATCTTCAAGTCCAAAAACATCGCTCTCCCCTCCAATCCCACCATTCCTCGGCTCGTCGACAAACTCTCCTCGATCTACCTCGAGCCACATTCATTGGGAGATTTACTCTGGATCACAAATATCCCGGAATGTCTCTCGCCGCTAGCAAAGTCGTTCATCCATCCCACCGCACCGAACGCACAACCCGTCGCAGCTCGAGCGGAGTTGTTTATCCAAGGCAAGGAAATCGTCAATTGCTACGAGGAAGAAAACTCTCCCTTCGAGCAGAGGCGGAAGTTCATCGACCAGCAAAGATACGCTCGCGCTCCATCCCCCGACACCAGTGACATGGCGGGGCCTGTGGAGGACAAAGAAGCAATGAAAGTGGATGAGGACTATCTTCGAGCATTAGAATGGGGCCTGCCGCCCACAGGAGGCTGGGGATGCGGGATTGATCGACTGGTCATGCTCTTTGCGGGCCGAGAGAGGATTGGCGATGTGCTTAGTTTTGGGAATTTGAGAGCTGTCACCAGAGGTGCGCAGCTTGTGAATCAAGAGAAGAAGTAGACCCCTGCTCAAAGTCACGAGTCAGTCCATCTGTCACGATTCCTGCATGTCTCCCTGGTAGGACTCGAGCCGGCTTGAAATGTCATCATCGTTGAATGCTCGTATGTTTGTGGGCTGGCTGCAGTACAGTACTAAGTAGCTAACCGAGCCTTACGAGATGTGAAGCATCTAAGAAGCAGCGAATGATGTACGACCACAGCTTAAGAGCACCCTTAAATGAAAAGTTCAGCACAGTCTGTGTACTCCATTGTATATGCTGGAGCTGAACCGTGAATTAACCCGGTCGAGCAACCACCTTGCCTTGAAAACCGTGCAATCGTCCTGGCGTAGCACTGTAAGGGTAATTACTGCCCCCGTGCGTCTTATTTTGGTCAGCCTCGTCGTAGGCCCTTGATACCGCCCTGCCCAGCCTTGTCCCGTGTTCCCGCGTCCCCGCGTCCCCGCGTCCCCGTGTCCCCGTGTTCCCGTGTTCCCGTGTTCATCTCGACTCCAGCAGCTCGATTCGTCTTTGCAGGCCATCAGCTCTTGAACGACGAAAAATGTGGGACGTGCCTCCCTCCCCTTTTCTTCACAATCGCAGATTTACGCCCATAAATCATTAGATCGTGAAGGCCGCGAAAGTATGACGTTCGATATCGTGAGCAATGTTGAATCTGCGTTTAAGCAGGGAACCGTACCGATGGGAAAATGGTATGCATGTTGTTGGAAAATCCTCGCAAGATCAAGATGTCGTAGTCGTCCGGAAGCCCCTCTCTCACATCACATACGTGCCCGGTGAATGTTCGTTTTCGAATTTAGCCAGCAGGCGCTACGTCACAAGAAAATTCAAAGTGCTGCTGTCTTGTCGTGTCGTGTCTAGTTAGTTACTCGGCTCGGTCACGTTTTCGTTTCCTACTCGGCCTTCCCTTGTCATCGTCATGAATCGGCGCCGACACGTTCCTGATCGGTCCTTGCCCGTCCTTCAACCTCTCAAGGTAGAACTTGTAGATTTGCCTGTCCTGGTTGAGCAGCTCGTAGTTGGTGACGACGTAAAGTCCATCGTAACGGAACCCTACTTTCGGTCGTAGGGGCACGATCTTCCGCAGCCGAAACCCGCGGAAAACGCGCACAGGCTTGCCCGTCCGGTAGGATGTGATGAGCTTCTTGGTATCATCGGTGAGTTCTTGGCCTTTGCTGTTCCTCGTGACGCGGTCGGCGCGATGCTCGTCTTTGTCTTTGATATTTGTGGCCTCCCTGTCGTCTTCTTCGCGATTTAGCGCAGTGCTCATGTATTCGACGTATTCTCTTCGATCGACGTCGGCGTATTCGTTGTTCCTGGATTTCTTGGAACTGACTACGATGCTGGTTGCGCCGTTGTCAATGGTCCCTGCGATGCCGGCCCTCGTTGCGCCGTGCGCGCCGTCACGTACCATATCGATCCGGTAGAGCCAGACTTGCCCGTTGACAAGGTGGCCGTGACCATAGTAGTCCGACTTGCGTCGAAACTGACAGTCGGGTTCAATGGACCATTGGTTTGTTTTCGGATTGTAGCGACAGCCTCGACGGGCCCGAACACTAAAGTCCTCGGCCTGCCATTTCGTCAGGAGAATGGTTAGATCTTCGATCAACTCATTTGGAAGCTGTAAGGTTGCTAGCCGCGGTCTGTTGCTTGTGCTGAGAAAGATTTTAAGGCGGTCCAGAAGACGAGACTCTACTAATGTATCTTTGGTGACTGAGTTGTATTGGAACATCCGAACCGAACCCGCAAGGTTTTGGAAATCATCGTGTAAAAGCTTTGACTGGTGAGTTCGCTGTATGACGGTGGCAAGCCGTTTACGGAAAGTGTGCGCTTCTTGTAGTCCCACAAAGGTCTCTTCCTGAGGGTTGTCGTTGAGGGAGAGTCTGTTGATCTGGTCAGCATTCGAGTGTTGAGTCTTATAGCTGGACGTACTCTGAGTGGTAGTTTTCTTGAAACTCCTTCTTCTTCTTCTCCCACTCGGGATTCTCCTGGACCAGTGTACGACAATCTGAGAGCGTATGGTGTTTGTGTGGACAGTCGTGGTCTATCGCGCATACACATGGCTTGGGGACTTCTTTCGGAATTGGCGTAGCCGGGCGAGGAGTCGGCGTAGAAGTATTAGGGTTTACAGCTGCGCGCCGTTCGGGGACTATGTCCATCATGGGAACGGCGTCGTACTGGGAAACGAACAGGCTGCTCTCTTCGTGGTACCTGGGTATTTCCCCTTCTTCTAACCCTGTAGAATACTCACGTTTAATGCGAGGGCCAGGAACACCAGCTGCTCCGTTTGCGTCAGGTCCCCATATTCGAGATGTATCCTTGTCACCGAAATGTAATGAGTTGGTGACTTGACTCCGTCCTCGAGTCGGGTATTTGCCGTCTACTGCTCTTTGTGCTGCGGCATTAGCCAGATCGCGTTGCCTGCGGGCAAAGCCTTCAGCTAATACTTCTTCCTGGTCGTTGACTCCCGGGGGAACCCCTCCACTGGCCGCATAGTTGCATGTATGGCTCTCCTCTGCTTTCACGTATATGTCCTTTACATGGTCTCCCGGAGAAAGGCTTGGTGTTCGTGGAGAAATAGCGTGGTCCGCACCGGGACTATAGCTGGGTCTGTAGCTATCGTAAAAACGAACGCCACGGTCAACCCGACGACGGTTAGCCTTGGGACAATTGGGTACCCGGCCAGCAATTCCGGGAACTATCGACGAGTACTCGTCATAAGGTGGCGACAACGGTCGTGAATTTGGTGCAGGCATTGCGGACTGTACACTGGTAAGCAGCAGTTCAAGATGGTGGTGAGGGTCGATTGGAAGAGTGGTCAGTATATCTAAAGCCTGACCGGCGAATCCGAATATCAAGCCGGTATTAATATGCCCAGTTGTCCGAGTCTGAGCTCTGGTGAAACAGGACCCAGCCTCGTGATAAGACTGAGAGAGTATGGCTGATAAGAAACCTATGCAACGACAGATGGGCACTGACGGTGAAGATGTGGCAAAAGTGCACCGAGACGAGTGAGTTGATATGAAAGATTAGTGAGATGTAATCGAGAGATCCTCGACAAGACAGGATGTGAGAGAGGCAAGATGTGAGAGAGGCAAGATGTGAGAGAGGCAAGATGTGAGAGAGGCAAGATGTGAGAGAG